ATATTGTATTTCCAATGTTTTTCAAAAAATCGGTCCCTCAATTTTTTTTTCAATTAAGATGCAATCTGTTCCATTTTGTTCATTTAGCTTGTATTTCAAACTTTACTCCAAACATTGTTCTCAATTTAAGTTCCAGAAGTGATTACTTACTTTTAAATGAATGTGCTCTCCAGCGAGGTGAATGGAAAATAAATCTTATCATCAGTACAAAAAGTCTCTGCAAACATCCCTTGGTTAACCACCCTTATTGTTCATTTCATTTGAGTTTCCTCTTTCTTGACACAGATTCGAATCGGAGGCCCGTGTTGGAGCCGGTCTTCCTGAATGGCCGAGCTTTTTCCTTTTCGACAGATGAAATGATTGTGGGAAGTGAGCCTGAAGATTGCTGAAGTAATTAGCGTTGGTGCTGGGTGGCAGATCCAATCGTCTTGTCTCGGATAAGGAGGGAGCCTCTGCTCGCATGCGTGCAGACACACCATACAGTCCCGGATTCAGAGTTTAATTGCATGGTGGAGAACGATAAAACGTGTCCTCACGTGCAGCGACGGCTGTCGCACTCAGAAGGTTGTGCTGTTTTGAAGATATGGTTAAGTTTTTGTCTAAATGTAACTGAAATGTGTTTTTAATTCTTGTGTAGTTTTTCGGATGTGAAGTGAAGATTTTTCATCAACATGCTCCTGTTTTTTCCAATCATAATCATCATCATCATCATCATCATCATCATCATCATCATCATCGTCATCATCATCATCATCAGAGATTTCAAATAATTTTCTTTTCCAGACACAAAATAAGAACTTCCTTTTTCCTCTTTATCTACTATTGTGTTCACTGCCCACCTATTTCACATTACCTGACCTAATACACATCTCCCCTTTTCCTTTTTTCTATCCTCATTCCCTCTTCTGCCTCATTCTTATTTAGTGTATTACCCCTATTTCAGTCTTGTAACTTATTTAGTTTTTCCCCCTTTTACTATCTAGCTCCTCAAAATGCCTTCTTTCAGGGTCCTGAAATATTTTTGTCTTTCTATCTTGTCCTCCTTTTTCTTCTCCCTCACCTTTCAGGGAGTGCAGGCGCGCCTTTTGTCTCAAGGTGACTTAGAGCATCTGCGGCTGTTGCCGCGATATATGAAGCAATTTAATCTCAGGCAGGAGGTGTGAGGAAGCTGAACCCCTGCCCTCTGGTGACATCAGACTTTGTGCCGACGACCCTGTCAAGGTTGCTCCGAGTAGTTAATCTTCATACTTAGGAGCGAACCGGGGCACCAGATTCAGTTTGAACTTATTGGCAATAATCTGATTGAAAAAACTTCAAAAGAAAAGAAGACACTTGCATTGGATGAAAGAACTGAACATCCCTGCTGGAGAACCATTAAGTGACGTGTGTCTGTGTGGGTGTGGGACGGAATAAATTAGACATGTTTCAGCTTCAAGTGTGGTCCTTGTAAACTCGTGAACTTCCTGTCATGAATATTAAAACACCATGCTATTAAAGGCATCTAATTATTCTTTATTTTTCCATTTGTTAACCTCCCAAAGGCAGGCTTATTGGACTGTGTTCCTTGTTTGTGAAATGTGAGTCTTATTGTATCAGGCTGTACGTGATGTCTGCACTCTGTCTCCGGTTCTCCACCAGTGTTTTCACCCAAATGACTTCTGTCTCGCTTAAAAACTGTTCCTTTTTTCCTTTTTCTTTATTACCACAACTCTGGTGAGAACTCAAAAAAGCAATCACAAGAAATAAATGTTGTCATCGTTGTAACTTAATGACTACTGCTAAAGGTTCTGTGTAAAATACAGGAGGCAAATGTCCCCCTAAGGTAAATTCAGACTCACAACCGGTTGCTATCTATAAATAAAAAAGGAGAATTTGTAAAACAAAACAAAACAAAAAATCACCTCTCGTTTTCAATGCCAAGGTGGGGAGTATCAGTTTATAAGTAGCGCTGTTACAGTCTGAACCCCTCACCAGTGTGACTGCCAGTGGTTGAGTCATTCTCACCTGTAGATTGTCTAACTGTCTGAAAGGCCGAGTTTTGCCCAACGAGTCCGAGGTGTGAATGGCTGTGAAGTTGCCCGGCAAGGGTTGAGGGTTGAGCAGATTTCCGTTTTCCCTCAATGGAAATGGAAACATTGTTAGCAAACAGTAATACTGCCAAATCAATTTTTACATTTCCTTTAAACACAAAATTATTTCACAAATAGTGTGACCACCATCAAATATATGGTAGATTAATTAATTCGACCAAAAAGCTCAAATGTGTCTTCTTGTGTAAATCCAGGCTCTGTGTTATGCTATTAAACATGACTTAGGTACATAATTACGAAGCTCTCTAAACCTCTTTTGTGATTTACAGAGAATTAAATTTTAAAATGTTGGATCGGATTCTGAGCAGAGGATGGAATCAATATTATGGTCCAGTATAAAGCAAAGCTCCAACAACAAAGCAGGCATTAATGGAAAAATCAAAGTGCTCAATGTTTTCACTCTGTGACATTACTCATCGGGCCAATGAATGGAGTCTTATCTTGTCATGACAACAACACAAAGGAAGAGTAATTGCCATGGCAACAGGTCACCTTGAGTTGACGCAGCGTATCTTTTTCTAATGTTCCTTCAGGTAGATGTTGGTCAAGAATTTACCACCGAATTTACCCCCCCCAAAAAAAAAACTCTGGTTCACCAAACTCCACAATAAATCTTGTCTAAATTTGAAAAGCTGACAGAGTGTTTGAGGTGAAAGAACGTCAGTGCCAGTTGGGACATTTTCTTTTTTTTTTTTGTTGTCCTGCAGCACATTTGTCAGTCACAAACCAACGTGCGACCCAAATGCCAGAGGGATATTCCTCCAGGACACTGCAGCAGATGACTGACCTCCATATGACAAGATCAGAGAAGGAGGGATTGATCAGCAACCAGATCATTCTCTTTATCAGTTACTCAATCTCTTTTTCTTTTATGCTACTTTTCTTTAAGCTGAAAACTCCCCAGGAAATGGGTGTGATTGTCTGCACCACCTAAAAAAGAGCACCCTTATTGTCAACACAAGTGGCCTGGACAAGCACCAGACACTGTTCATATCTGCGGAAATTTGAAATTTAAGAAACCATTTAGCTGGACAGTGAGAGTTACCATATGCCCCCAAAGTGCCGGCCAACATTTCTGTATCATTATAGATTTTAAAGGACATATCAAACACTAACACACAGTAAACTGTTCACATTGAACTGGAAAATTGTACTTGTGTGTGTAGGTGACATGTAGTGCAAGACAGAAGAAAACAAAGTTTTAAAAATAAAGGGATGCACAATCTATTCTCTGCTAACATGTTTCTTCAAATCAAATGCACCTCATGGCCAACAGGCTGGTAAATTCAAGGTGCTGAAATTCCAGGAGCAATGTTAAAATTAAAAACTTTGCTGAAACTTCCGCTGTTGTTTCTGTGGAGAAACACTGCTATGAGGACCTGTTGAATGAGGCATGCTTGGAATGAAAGAAATGGCTACTGACAATCTTGGTGTCTTTGGTACATGAATTTTTCCTGCTTGTGCAGAAGAAGGTTTTGTATAAATCTACATTTGTTCAGATGAATCCCACTGACTAAGCCGTTAGCCATATTCATTTTAATTAAACCAAACCTGGCGCCTTAAACCATTCTCTATGAAGCCAAGACTCTATAAAGAGGACTCACACATGCACGTTCATCCAAAAAGGCTCTTTAATTGGTCTTAGTGATTAATTACAAGGTGAAGGAGCCCGGTAACATAGATACTAGAATAGCTTTCACTTACCTCATTTGAATTTCATAATTAAAACAGGTAGAGAAGATGGGGGGGAAAGGAATGACAAGGGAATATAAAAGAGTGGAAAAAGAGGGTGTGAAGAGGGTGTCAACCAAAGTAAGACCAAATGCTCCAATAAATCAGAAAAATCATCCATTTTTGAAAACAGAAACTCAGAATGTGCCAGAGATGTGTTTAGAAAAACAGTGAGTATAAATTCTTATCATAGTTAGAATACATGAATATGACACAAACCGATCTCAATTATGACATTCATCTATATCAACATAGTATTTATAATACGTAATTCACTCAACGTGAGGCCCTGTGTTTGCTGTGTTGTGCTGCTCTGCAACCTCAAGAAACCCATTGAGGATGAAGAGTCCGTGGTTTAAGACACCTAGTGCTAGTCAACACTGTCCCGATCCTGCAATCATTCTGCAGACTGTGTTCATATGGACTGATCTCATGTTTCCTCTGGCTAGTCACTAAATGAAGACATGAAGGGCTTGGCTCCAAGGCATAAAAATATTAAAGACCTCACCTGATATTCATCAACAGATGTCTAAATGTGATATTTAATTTATTTTTATTTTAGAGAACTGTCGTTCTTCTGTGCCTGGAGTCAAAGTGCTTTAATGTTGAATGCCTCATGTTGGAGTTAAACTCTTCACATCTGCTTTCAGTTGTCTTCTGCTATCTTGCTACAGAGACTGCTTGTTTTTGGTGGCTGTATTCAAAGAAACAATCCCTCATCTCTTTATTATTCATCTCCAGCTGTTCATCTCTCAGAGAACACCCAAGACGGAACCCCAACAATTCACAATATAACATAAACAGCACACATAGCATAAAAACTGGATTGAGTTTCACAATGTGCCAATATCCTGGCATGTTGTAAATCTTAGTGCACATTAAAGCGCAGAAAGCACAAACATTGTTCATGGGAAAGCAGCAGAGTTAAATCAACTAAATTCAGCTTCCCGAGGATCCCAAGGCAGTCTTCATTCAGTGTCACTTCTTCAAAGACACAAAATTCAAGATGTTACCACAAAATCACACTGAAAATGAACAGATTCTTTAAATAATATTCCTAGCCATTTAAAAACAATCTTACTTTTTAAAAAAGAAACTCTTTCCACAGTGGTAATATTTAAGAGTCTTTCCTACTGTCTCTTAATGGTTTCCATCTAATGAGGTCTTTATGGTTTCCAATCAGACTTCAGATTCCAGACTGGACACCCGCCGCCAAGGCCGAAGTACACAAGGACTCCCCACAGGATGGCCCCCTGCTCCCTGCACTGCCTGAGGCTCTGATCCGGTCTGAGACCCCTGATACACACCATAGGCCCCATACATGCTGTCCTGATACACCAGGCCCCCCTGTCCCCCACATTGCCCGCCCCCACATGCCAATAGCTGGCACACTGGGGTGGAAGCCTGGCTGTGGTGTTGCAGGTCCACTGGACCATGGTAGAGCGGTATTCCCGGGTACGAGTTCAGGTAGTGCGCATACTGTCGGCTGAGCAAACTGGTGGCTCTCCGCATCACACCACGCCCCAACCCAGTTCCATATCGCAGTGCTTCTCCATATGTCGGGAGGTGAGTCGAGTGGGAATAGCGCAGCCTTTGGCCCTTCCGCCCGACAGGCTTCCTCTGGTCCTCCCTAATGTGGAGGTAGGCCTGGTTCCTTGGGAGGCACAGGTTGTTTCGAAGATGGGCAGGGTTGTGAGCCTTGGCGGATGTTGATGGACTTAGAAGGCATGGAAACAAGTCTGGCAGGGTTGAGGGTGATTGGCTGGACAGAGAAGACTGGGACTCATCAAGCTGGCGAACCTGCTCACCGCCCCAAGTTGCTTTCAGAAAAGAGGGGCGGCGGTGCCTGCGTCTCCCTCTCAGAACAAGGTCCTCCGGGGGCCAAGAGGAGTAATTCTCCACCCGAGGCAAAGTCTTTTCACCTGAATACATGTTGTCAATAACTGGGGAGGATGTATGATTGTTTTGGAGGTGTTTGGCTTTGAGCTCAGTCAGAGTGACGGGACCTTTGTCGCTTTTCACCAGTTCCCCATGTGTTCTCCTTTCTATATCCACATCTTCACATTGAAAACTCTTGGATCTCCTTTTCCGTTGATTGAAGCCCACTTGAACATGTTGGTTTTGGGAAGAAGCGACTGGATGAGAGGTGTATATGTCAGGTAGTTGGAGGTCATTGTATGGGATGAAAGGGGAGTGAGAGTGGGTGTCCACATAGACTCTTCCAGTAGTCTGGTAGTGGTGCGTGTGCTGATGAGGCAGCGGTTCTCCTGCAGCCAGGTGTGGGCTGCTCAGGCTGGACACAGGAAGTGGTCTGTCGTACAGACACGATGATGAACGAGTCGGAAGCGTGTAACGTAGTGGTGTTGGCCTGGTTACGCCCCTTCGCGGTTTGAAAGTGGGAGCGGCAGTAAGAGGCGGGGTAAGAGAGCGCTGAGGAAGAGATAAATGATTTTCTGCAACATAAGCAAAACCTCCTGGCACAACCTCAGTCGCCACTTGCGGAACACGAACAGGCAAGCTGCCGCCATGCCGACTCAACTGCTCTATGGTCTTTGTAGCATTGTCTAGGGAGCTCTCAACGTTGGCGGTGGAGACCAGGTCCTTCGCAGTGCGAAGCATCTTGAGCATGTTTGCTTGAGCATAGCTGGAAGTCAGGTCATGTTTAGCCAAACCAGACGAATGCCCAGGATCCTCCACTCCTTTGAAACAACTGTAAATACCCTTGTAGATAAAGAAAACAGCATGAAATCAGTTACATTGATAATGAAAATAAGTCAGTTAAACATGTGTAATTATACTAAAATTAACCATTTCAAAGACATTATCTTCAGCCATTTGTGAATCCCAAAGTGACGATCCATTATGATGTTGAGAATTTATATTTTATTCATATCCTTTCAGATATGAATAAAATACTATTCAAATCAAGTTAGCTGAATTGACCTGATAAATGTACACAACACACAAGCTCAATGTCTCTTTCAGAACAGGCTTCAACACCATGGACAAAAAAATCCAATGACTTCTCCCTGCTTACAGTTAGCGGAGAAATCCTGAAATCCCTAATTTAATTTGGTCCTTGGGGCCACCAGAGAAGAATTTAAGACTAGTTAGGCATTTAGCACTTAATCTAATCAAACCCCCATCCAGGCAAAATAGTATAATTACATAGAAGCCTGGAGTTCAGAGGCATTTAGCTGGCTGTAACCTATGCAAGCCTCTGTAAAGACAACCCAAAACAGAGTCAACAAAATAGGTAGAGATTTATACAAATTACAAAGGCAATAGAAGTTAAATGCTAAGTAAACATTCAAAATAAAGCAACTGTTAAATATCACATTTCTAATTCTTAAAAAGAATGCTGTGCAGTTTATCTACAATCAAATCAAGCTAGTCCAATTAAACGTTGTCATTAGATGCAAATAACCATTAATTTGCATTCATTTGACATCACATAAAAACCATTTCATGTAAAACAGTAAATCAAAAAGAGAAAAGGGCAAACAGATGATTAAAGTTAAAGTTATTGACCTGTCAGGCTTTCAATCTTTGATTTAATCTAATTACAGCAGGTCCATAAGTCAAAAACTAATTCAGTCAATACGGCAGTTTTTCATCCTACAAGCTCAAGATTACGAAATAGTTAATGTAAAAGTCCTGAAATCTCACCCTGCTGATGCCCAAAAGGAAGTCAAGTTTATCAGACTTGTGAAGCGAGTGTCGTAGTTTCCAGTAGAGCAGATGTTCCCATGCAAAGACCAGCAAACTGAGGCCCATAGCCACCAGAAGCATGTAGAATACGCCCGCCATGTTGTCGATGTCCAGTTTGCTGCTCATCACTTCATTCTTCTCATTCTGGCAGATGCCTGACAACCAAACTGTCTCCAAGCGCTCTGTGTCTCCTGAAGGTTTAAAGGAGGAGAGGGGAGATACAAGTGCAGTGTGAAAGACTGGGCACAGCAGTAAAGGGAAAATAGTCTCCATAGTTATTTCCCATATGTTAAACATTATCTCAGCTAAATGAACAATGGCACATGGATGTAAACAAATCTCACTTGATCTGACTGCGATCTATCAAGACTCTATCACAAATATGGGATTTATTAACTTAAAATGAACAGACAATTAGTGTGGTGGGATAAAGCAACACCAAAATATTAGGTTAATGATGGACAAATGCAAAATACCTAATGCACAATATATGTCAGGATTTGGTTTGATTTGGTTTATATTTTTTGAAAGCCCTATAATTCAAAAGTTCGACCAAGTGAAAGCAATAGAAGTTTTAAAAAATGTCCTGAAAAGAGGCCCCGATAAATGGCGTCTTCATAAAACTAAATGGTAAAATATGTGCAAAAGATAGGACACAGTTATTCCCGCTATCTCATTTTTTTCTACCTTTCTTATCACAAAAGAAGAGCATAGAGAGAATAAGAAACAGGTTTTCCACAGCAGGTATTTTAACTCCAAATAGTAGGAAAACATTTGATGTATTAAAAAAAGGTATACACCAATGAAGAAGGCTTTCTGCTGTTTTATAATAACCCAGCAAGCACAGGTGCCTTAGTAGCCCTCACTAATACAACATATGAACATTCTCTACCATTTTTCGACTTAACTATTTATTTAATCAGAAAATAAACCTTCTCAGCTGTGAGTGTATGTGTTGGGTGCTCTTACGCTCTCAAAGCATAGAGGATAATAACTGCACACCAGCAGACATCATGGCATCATTTGCATTTGTGTGTGAATGAGCCACCATATCCTTGGCACTTCCTGCTGTTCTGCAGGATATTAACTCTTCCCTGTAAGCTAACATCCCTGCTGATACACCTCACAATGATCTGGGCCGACGCCAGTTCCTTGTTGTACATACGGTGTGCCAGTGAAACAGTGTCGCACTGGGTATAATTCATTCCTCATATACAAATTTTGATCAAATATGTTTAAAGACCACAGCTCATTTGGAACTTATTAACATTTGCATGCCAGTTTTCCACGAGCTGCTGGAATCACACGGTTCTCCTAACTACTCTACGCAACCAAAGTTCAGCTATGAAAGCTCTCGACTGTTCATTTGCACCTGGGGCTGATGTCAAGTCAGCAAACCTTTGATGTCACTTTGAAGAACAGGAAAAAAGTTGCAGAAAACCATGTCTAACAAGTCAGTGTCCAACAGTTATTGGTGATGAATTCCTATGACTGTTTGACAAAATTACGTTTTATTTTCTTCTGATGTTCAGAAGCTCTGATGTTATTCCCCTCACATAAAGAGCAGGATTAACTCATTTGAGATCTAAAGTGATAATATAAATGTTCCTCTAATAGTTGCCAGAGATATAGTACACTGGCCACTAATGAGGTTCACCGCTGCACAGAGAGGTTTTAGAAGCTCAAATTCTCTCTAAAGCTTTTTTCTTAAAGGAACCGATTGTTTGATTCACATTTGAACCTTTAGATCACATCTTGTAAGGTTAAGCTCACCATCTCCAAGGAACTGTAGCAATGCAAGATCTATTGGCCGCTTCCAGCGGGATTCTTTCACCAGAGCGATACCATATCCTGTGGTGGCAAACACTTTCCCACTGCCAATAGTCACCAGTTTGCAGCCCTCATCCTTCCCAGCCATGTAGTTCAAAACAGCAGCATCGTAGATGAAGGCATCCAGCTTCCTGCACAGGAAAGAAAGTCTTCCTTAACACTTTTATTGAAATGTTTAGAACATTAATTTTCCCTTATAGAATCCTACCAATATGTAGTTTACCTCGTTTTGATGCATTAAACACTGTGTAAATACATTGCAGCTGGCTATCCTCAGAACAACATCATAAGTTGTTCGACTTATTCCAGGCTGCCACTGGTTTCAGTTCATTTCCGGAACAATCAGCTCTTTTGAAACTTCGTTGAGAGTGGCAATCCATCACAGTGATCCTTTGTCAGCTCTTTAGAAATAGCTGCTGTTGTGTAAAGATTCTATTCACAGCTTGTACTTTCACATGTCTAACTTAAACCAAAGAGCTCTGAAGAGAGCCACTTCCGCACAATCATTACCATCCAAAGATGGCCCAAAGATGGCTGAACTGAAAATGTGTAGACAGGCTTTAAGCGGAGCCTGTCAGATGGTGCTATGGTCAGCAAACCAACCTCAAAGGCCCTCTCAGCCGGAACCTTTCCCACCTGATGTGTGAGAGTAAAAGACTGAGAGGCACTAAAAAACTATCATGAGATAGCAGGCATTTAAACACCTTTATGCTTTTCCGTGGATGACAGCCATTTGTTGTGACATTTCATCTGTGAAGTGTTTTCCAGTCATTGCATTATTGATCATTATGTGTCTGAATGCACCGGGAATTAGTTGACTTCATTGTTTAGCGAGCATTGATGTCTTTGTCAGAGTTCACTGCACACAATCAAACTGTCACTGAGACATTTCTAAGTGGAACTTCACCATGACGGTCATGCTGCATAGTTTGACAAAAAGTTGGGGCGCAGATGAATTGACATTCCAGACAAGTTTCACGTAAATTATTTCCCTTCACGAGAAAATCAATATGAATATTGGCAAGTACAATCTCTCATTCAAAATAGTTCCTGTTTGACAACGTTGTTAGTACAAATTAAGAAATATTTTTTTATGTAGAAGTGCACCCATCACATGGCCTAATTTTTCTAAAATAGCCGTGTGACACAAAAAGCATCAAACTTGTGCTCCATCACCTGAATTATCAGCAGAATTACAGCACCATACCGTGTCCTCACTGATATGAGGATCAGTTAAACATAGCGTCAAAACTATCATTATGCTATGTAAAATTTTAAAAATTTGTACCCGGTTTTGAGGCTCTCCAGGGCTTCCTCCACCCCTTTCTGGTTGTATTTCATCATGTGTGTGTGCATGTCGGGGTAGTTGCTGCGGATATTTCTCTCTGTGCTCCCATTTGGGACCGTCCCAAAGCGAAAAGGAGGGTAATGCTCCTGTGGTTTTTGGAACTGAAGACAGAGAGTATATTAGTGGAGAAAGGAAGGGAAAGATGATCAGAGGAAGGGGCAAATTGCATGAAAGAAAGGGGGAGGCTAAGACAAAAGGTGGGACAGAGTAAAAGGATTTATTTTAAAGATCACAGGGGAGAAGAGCGGTGCTGATAGTTAATACAACAAAAGACATTAAGACAAAAGTAAAATAAGAAATGAAAAGATAACAGAACGGACATAGGACCAATAAATTATATTACATTAATTTTGGATCCATAACTGATGTATTCAACAGCTAGACTCAAAGATGGATTAATGGACTGTTTACAACTCAGCCATCTCTGCTTGATCACATCTGACATCAGTCAACAGGCATCTGTTTGAAAGCGTTTGAATAATTTCATTGCAGATGATCCTAAACCAGTTTAATCTGGACCTGATCGAAATTCCCATTTAAAGGCACAACACCGAACGAATGCACAAATACATCTGCCAGAGCTCAGCTTAACCACGAACGGAAAGGGCCTATTCATTTTCATTACAGCCCCGACCTTTTAGGCTGAGTGCAAATGAATGAGTCAATCAGCATGTGAGTGAATGGACACGCATGCACAAAAAATGAGAACTGACAGGATGGGATGGGATGGGATGCATTGTCGTCACGTGTCCATATGTTCAATGAAAGAATAAACACCATAATTAGACCCCCATTGCAATATGATCAGAAATAAATCTTGCGCCACATGCATTTTGTTTTGGCTGGAATATGTTTCTTCGATTTAGATAATGTTATACAAAATTGTTTAGTCTGGTTTTATCATGTTCAGTGTGCTCCTGTTTGATTAATTTAACCTTTGACCTGTCCAGGGTGTATGTTACATGTTGCATGCCCCTGATCTAACGACTAGTAAAAAACGAGTATTCTTCAAATGTAACTTGAAGGGTCAATGCATTATTTGAATGTTTATTTTGAATCTAGAGGTTTAATAGAACAATTTTATGATGAAGATATTCCTTGCAAATCTTCATAAAGAAACATATGGTAAGCACATTTTTAAACCTCTAAACCTCGTTCCTTTTGAGCTGAATGGCTGCACAAGCAGACTTGTCTATTTATTTTAATCACAGCAGCTGCTGTAGCCACAGAAACCTAAAGGGCAGGTTGTGGATCAGGTGGTAACCTCAAACTAACGTCGCTGCACCATGACCATGTGTGACCATGTGCAAGGCCTCGGGATGCCAGTTTGTCATCATGAGTTTTTCCAAGGTCACCAGTTTAATTCTAATTAAACGCAGTGGCCGAGGCACACTCACAAAGAAAGAAACTCCATATTCCACTGATGATGTCTGGTGGTTTTGCCCTGCATGATTCACTCCTTTAATCCTATGCACCACATCACAGCTAAATTTTCTTCTCTTTCTTATGATTGACTATTTTGCATAACATACTTAAAAAACCAAAATTGTTGTCAATCAACTCTTGAAAATAGTTCAAAGATAGTTCTTGATGTCCCTTTGGAGACTATTCTTTGATTGTAATAATAGGTTGTATCTACATGCATGTGAAGGAATGGGGTTTGGTGGTTAGATTTCCATTGTTAAAAAGGGATAGCTCTGAAAATCCACTCGTCAAAACATTAGTTGATTCTTGCCATTCCCACAATACGAGGGTATAACAGTTTTACCAAAGTTAACCATTTGTTTCAGTGTGAAGGAGCTTTTTTTGTTAGCTGTCCAGATTTTTTTGCAATTAATACATAGATGTTTGTATGATGGAAATCATTTAAAAGGTTTACAGACCCTAAATATGCATTATTTGTTTTCCTATCTCTAATTCATTCAGTTAGAATCAGGGCTGAATATCCTCAGGACTATGCTGATTAAGCTCTGACCATCCTCAAGTCTTTCGTGGCTGGAGTCTTTGTTTCGAAAACAATTATTCCTGATTGTGATGTGACGCTTGCTTCCTAACAATATGTCCTCAGGATGGAGAATTTTAAGGAGCAACATGTTGAATTTGACTTTCAGAGACGACCTGAACCTGACAAATTCACTCTCATGTTCTTTTTCAGTAGACGGAAGCGGCCCGTGTCCCGCTGTGCGGACTGATCTATAGCAGCTCCTCATGCTGCAGGACAGAATACATCTGAATAATGTTCACACAAACAGATCGCTGTGGTGGCTTCATTAACCCCTGCCTGAGAGTTGTTTTTGTCTGTGTGTTTTGTGCCTGGTAAAACTCCTGCGAGACCATGTTTCAATTTGAGAGTTTATGCAGAAATTTTTAAGTGGTGAGCAGAGAGTGCAGGTTTTGTTTCCCACAATGGCTTTGCTCTTTTTTTTAAGCGTTTGACATTTTGCAGTCTTGTTTAAACGGTGTGAGCCAGACGAGAGATGGAGATGGCATTGGGGGGTTATTGATGGACAGGCCCGGAATACTGACAGGACACGTTAAGACTCACACACCATCTGTATTGACAGATGGCAGTAATTGATTAGTCATTCACACCACTGGGCTTCCCGCTGATAGGAAAAGGACAGAGACATTCACAACGAAATCCTTTAGCCGGATTTCAAGTGAAGCTTTTGACTCTCTGGTGTTTATGGGTATGTAATCGATACAATGTAAAGAAAAGAAAAGATCGTGTGGCAAGAGTTAGGTTTAAATGCAAAGATGTTATTTGTGTCATATCTCACAGCTCCACAACAGAAGCCCTTCTTTCAACAACTGCCAAGTTTCAGAATCACTCAGAGGTTCCAATTGAACTCCTGCTTATTCAGCCTCTTACCTTCTTGTCAGACAGTCCAGACACTGTATCAATGTACTGTTCCTGTATCATGAAAGCAGCCAGATTGGCTGTGTAGGAAGCCAGGAAGATAACAGCAAAAAAGGCCCAGACCAGAACCATGATTTTACTGGTTGTTCCTTTCGGGTTTTCAATGGGGACAGAGTTGTTGAACACAATGCCCCACAGCAGCCACACCGACTTCCCGATGGTAAACGTTGGACCACCAGGAGCTGAGGGAAGAGCCAGAGTAGAGATCAATTTGACTCTAAAACATTCACAATTCAATATTCTTGTGACTGATCACAAAAAAAGCCCTCCAGTCCCCCAAAATCTGATTACATTTAGCTGTTGTCATTCGATTTCCAAATATTACATTTAAAATCCTCTATCGAGAGATTTCTTCTCCAGTTTAGCTCTTGTGTTTCCCTTCAGAACAGATTTGTCACTTGTGGAAATGTTTTGATAGAAACATTTATGAAGTGAGATAACAAGAGGATAATAGTTCGAGTTAAAATAACGACTTAGTTATGGTTGGGTAACAGTGTCACATTAGGAGCAGCAGAAATTTTATAGACTTGGTCTCACTTCCAACTTCTCAAAATGAGAAGTCACCAGGTGTTGACCTTTCCCTTCGGACAAAAGAACAACCTTATATCAAAAAACATAAATGATAAACATAAAAGCTTGATGAAGGCCTTTATTGCACCTAAAACTAAGGGCAGTTTAACCGTTCGGTGAGTCAGTAATTCTGACCCCTCTTGTGCCATTGCAAAAACTTTCAGACAACAGAGGAGTTTCTCTGCCTCAGCCTGCTTCCACAGTTCCCCTCCATCATTGCTCATGTGCAGCAAAGGAGGGCACCACCGCCATCAATCACACTTCGATTAGTGCAGCCACAAATGCTAATTAAAAAAAGAAAATGACCTTTCAGGCCCCGAGATGGACACACTCTGCCAGCACTGCATTCTGGGATTGATTACCTCTCTCCTGAACATTTTGTTTAAGAACCATAGCTGTTGCAGGACATGCAGAAGAGAGTGGACTTAGGGCCAGCTTACAGAGAATTAGTGAGTAGGATTCAAATCAAGTAGCTTCCAGTTATTTGGTGGATAGTTTGGGAAAGAAATCTATACTAACATCTAACGTAGAATCCATTTATCTGTTTCACACTCTGAACACTCTGATTTGGTGGGATAAATGAGGACTTTACTGTACGTTTTTCTTGCTGCTTTGCAAATGTTGTAAGAATTACCAGTCACAATATGCCAGAAAAAAAAACTGAACAAAGCAGTTCAACTCACCTTTGGCGCTCACCAAACTGCGGTTGTAGCCGACCGGGCTGAAGTATTCAAACACAAACACTGTCACAGCCACAACTGTCAGGCACATCACAAACATCATGACCCAAACTGCCGGGCTATAGGGCTCTGGATGAGGAGAAGAAGTGAAGGTACAAACATGGATTTAGGAGTCTCTGTTTGCTCTTCCTGCCTCTAAAGCAAAGCTATTGATGGGGAGCGAAGAACCAGCTGATATGAAAATGAAAGGACGGAAATACTCTGAGGATTTTGTGCTGAATATTGTTGTTTGGAATTTGGAAAAAGAGATTTAGGTGTGTGAGGTGTTGTATGTGAAGGGATTTAATCACATGCTGCTGTGGTTGGCCGGATAAAAGCTAAATGTTGAGTTTGCCGAGGGAGCTGTAGTGATAAAACTTTGGTAAGTAGGACAAAAACTTGTAAGAAAGCTTGTAAGGGACACAGCAAACATGTGGTCCTTGGTACCAGATAACAGATGCTACAAATGAAAGCAGGAGAATTATTTCTCACCAAGAAAGGCAGACGGGGATACCGTTCCATTGCTGCGCGCGACCATTACACTGATGCCTGTTTCAACAAATGGCACAGAGAAGTCAATGATTTCTGAGCGCTCCTCATTGATGGTGAGGGAGCCAATAGCCATGTCGGCTCGTCTGTACACAACCTGAGAAAACAAACAGGGACAGAGAAAACACAATAAACCAACAAGGAAATACTCCACTAATACACTGACAGCAATCTTTCTTTAATTCAAAGCACCCTGAGTCTATTTTTTTTAACACAATACAAACTATTCATTCACTTTCAGCGTTTTTTTATATTTTACTACAAAGCCTCAAGCAGAAAATATACTACAATTTTCGTCATGCTTTAGAAAACAGTGCATGTTTGTCTCATCATTTAAGCGCGAGGGAAGAACAAACGCCGCGCATCAAGATTGCTCATATTCAAGGCAGCTTTATGAATGCTGCACACAAACAAATTATGCGGCAACAGGAGCAGACTGTCCTCAGGCAGAGAAACACAAGCGAGAAGGCTCTGAGGAACACCTGTTCGGGGTGTTTCACTTTCAGCTGCAGCTGTGTTTGAGGTGGTTTGGCATGTCAGGAGGCAGAGTGTAATCTAAAGTATACGCTTGACTGTACATCATTTGCCTGTGTAAAACACATCAAAGACATTCTATGATACTGTCAGTTGTTACAGTGGGACATTTTTCATCATACAGGTGATTTTTGTAAAGCAATGGACGCTGAGATGGCCACTACAGAGCCCTGGGTGGTGTACATGAGTGTTGGCTTATAAGACTGTCATTACTATTATATCATCATCAAATTAAACAGCCAATATTACACAACTATTGTCAAAGGTATTGTGATATTTATTCTGATCATCCATGTGTCGGTAAAGTGCTGAAAGAAGTATTACCCCACCAGTATATTTCTTGGAATTCTGATCCTTTGTTTTTACAGTGTTTACGAGTCAAAAAGCTAGCTGTTGGACTTGTGCAACAATTGCTGAAGTTCGAAAGGACCTGAATCTCATAGGAAAATATAAAAATGATGGCCTGTTCCCACTTGCCTGCGTTTATCTAAAGCTTTGGATTTTCACTTAATTTAGTCTTTGCACGTTTTGTCACTTTCAGATTGAACTCATTCTTCATTTTAGAGTCACAGATCCAATCCAGAGGTCTTCTTACCTGCTACCTTTGGTGCCAATCTTTCTGACCCCAATTTTTTAAAACTTTAATCTATCATGTCATTATTCTGGCATAAAAACATAATCTATTGATTTGTCGAAGAGGCACAGATATATTTTATTTCATGTGTTGGACATTACAAAATGGCACAGAGGAGACTCAGGGCACTGTGAAAAAGCAATGAAAAGAATCTTAATCACACAAAACAGGTCTGTTCTTAAATAACAAATACATCAATACAACACTGCTGCATTCATCTACTTCTCACCTCCCCAATCATCCCGTTCCAAGTCCCGTGGACCAGCTTGCCGTGTTTTCCATTAGTGACCAGGTAAAGGTCAAAGGAGAACTTGATGTTTCGGGACAGCTTTTTAAGGATATCTATACAGAATCCCTTGCAACACAACTTGGTGTAGGACTCCGAGTGCCCGATTATACTGGGAGAAGGACAAGAAAAAAACACAGAAAAAAGGTGAAGTTATTATCTGATCAAAGACGCAAAACTTTTTCTGACGGCTCGATGTGTAACTGTCCTCAGCTTCAGGGACAAAGGCGGGTGTTTTACTTGGTTTCACACAATGCTTGCTAAATACTCACAGGGTCTCATTTTGACAACAACTGTTGTCTACAGCAACAAAGTGAGGGGCAGGCGCTTGCTGGTTCATTAGCTAAAATCAATGTCGGTTAACAAGGTGTCTTTTGGAGAGATGGAGGAGATGCCTGAACATTGCAAACACGCACAAATATACTTTCACGCAAAGGCCACAGTAAGTGGTTGAGTGACTCTGTGGCCTCTAATCAAAGCCCATTAATGTGGGAGGCATTTGTGGGACACACTCACTTCCTCCATGTGGCCTTGCTACCTAATGGGGTGTGGAAGAGGACAGAAGGGCAGGACATTGGAGACAGAGAGGGGGAGAAAAATAGAATTGAAAAATAATGAAAAATAGCACAGAGTCATAGTTAAAAGTAGATTGAAAATTAAGTCCCCGCACTTATACACAGCTGCCTAAATGAATGCCTAGTATCTACAAAGGATGAGTCATACTGCGTGTGCAACTGACTGATAACTTCAGCATATTAATGAGACAGCATAGGCACCAAAGAATGATAAACAGAGCATGTCAGTGAAGAAATGAGCAAAAGATTACATGAAAAAAAAGTCTAGCGATTAACATTCCAGTTGATTGTTTTCAAAATTGTAACTGTTCATTATGGAGGGGGGAAAAAATGAAGTGTATTTTGAGGGGTTTCTTCTTTCATGGGAATCTAACTCTGATAAACGCAGTGTTAATTAATTGCTGCAGGAGCTGGCCACCTGTCGTCATTATACACACTCAACTTGCAATCCACTAGTGCACACACAACATTCTTAAACTGGGACGTCTCACACGAGAACACATGTTCACATGCAGTACAGTGCTCTCAAGGGGACTCGAGGCGTTTATGTTGCGGTGTGTGCTGTCCACAAAATGCCTAGTTTACTGGTGCAGCGTGGAGGAGAGGATGAAGATGCAGAGACACATTCTCAGGCTAAAACAAACGGTGAAAAAAAATCACATTGTTTAATGCAACTTTTTTGTAAACATTGCCTTGTTAGAAATCTAACTTTTAGATTAAAAAGTTACATTCATGACAAAAGAACAGATATCCTCGGAGTGAGTACCTGAATATGTAAACCATAACCATGTGCACACCTCTTATGATTCATTTTTAATAGCAAGACCAAACTATTTGAAAGTGACTGTGACTTTTAAACTTTTTAGAAGGGAACAGGTATGAGAGAATGCAATAAAGCAAAAGCAGAAAGGAAAACATGTTCTATGAGCTAGGAACTCTGGAAATGAATGCCTTTTTTGCTTATGGTTTTACTAAAAATATTTGTTTGTTTTTTTCAAGACAGAACATCCGTTTTGTGATTGACATTGCATTTCAGTAGGGACTGACACAACGCACTCATTGGTTAAGAAAAAGTGGCTCTAAAATGACTCACATCGGACAGGTAAGAAAGTGGACTTTACACTTAATGGGTCCAGAGAACTGGGCTTAAACTCTTGGCAAAAGAAGCTATCATCTGTCCAAAAAAAGGGTTTTAATGAGCAAGACAAAAAGTTCTAATCATGCAAAACATCTGTTCTATAGCGAAACCTTTCAGACCACACTGCGAGATTATAAGTGATTTAAATAGCAGCAGCCTGCCACCCATATCCCCCACACCCACCCCCCTTTCTTCTCACTTTCTCCATCCTGTCTGTTGGTCCACGTCCAAATGGGACAAGTCAGACACACAAAACTTGTGAAAGAGGACCAGAAAGGGGCTGAGATGGGATGAAATAACTTACTTTGACAGATGCCTCTGTGTTGGAAAGATAAATCTTCTCCTCTGGCAATCAATATGCCACTGAGTTTAACAATAGCCGCTGTATAACTCTTTCTAAAATACATTGTAAGCTTAATAATCTGCATATCCAACATGCCCACAGAAAAACACACGTTGAATCAATCAACTGAGCAAAACAAGGCACTTTCAGGCTAAATTACTCGTTTTTGTTGATCAGGTGATTAAAAGCTAATCTCCAAATATCATATCCTAAAAAATGTTGCTTTTCAGCAGGGGATTTGGGTATTTACACTTATTATATCTGTCTGTGAGACAGATCATCAGAAGTAGTGCAGCTAAGCTTCACATTAAGAGTGGCATAAGGACAAAATAGTCCCGAGCGGGTTAAACAAACAAGACCAAGAGTTCCAAATGATTAAAAGCCAGCCATGTTCATGGCCACAACCAGAAGCAGCAGCCAGTGTAAAGATCATATTTTTCAAGTATGGGAGAGACTGATGATGTCAAACAGAAAATGATTACTTAAAGGACTTAGGGATATGAAGTCCTGGAGCAAAAAGACTGTGCAGTATTCCCACATCTGGATGTGTCAGAGGGCTTCTGTTGTCAAAGAGAGCAAAAAGCAACTTCGGAGAGAGTAGAAATAATAGATCTAACGTTGAACTCATGCTCGACTTGTGCTCCTATTGTTTGTGCTTGTCTGAACATAATGAAGATGTTGTGTATTCTTGATGAGGTGCACACAGTTGGAGGTAATAGCTGTTTAATGTCTGTTTTCTGCCATGTTGCAATCTGTGTTTGACACCAAAGGTGTGTTTTAAAGTGCTCAGACACTCAGCAGACACAATTACTCTGTGTTTAATGAAGTGTGGAGGTTTGCAATGAATGGAACTGTTGCAGGGGAGCAGGGAGGCTGTGGATGTCTGGGTGCTGGACTGGGTATCATGTTTTGACAAAAAAAAAAGATGTTTGTTATTATTGTGTAAAAGATGTGGGGACTGCATTAAGAAGACAGCCTTATACTTCACAGCGTACATGTTGAACCTCGTAAACAACAAATCAGGAAGCAGAACGCTGTTATGGGGTCATTATATGGTCATTTCTGATCATTTTCACATGGGTCATTTCTGACTGTGTGCAAATTTGTCCAATAAAAACACAGAGACAGGAAATGTTTAGGCTAAACAAAAACACAGCAGGCATTAGCCAGTCATGTCTGATACCAGTCAGAAAATCTTAGATAAAATACTGATTTGAATTATTCATCCATCCATCCATTTTCGTAACCGCTTATTCCCTAACCGCTTATTCCCTAAATTCCCTGGATGGTCTGTCAGTGATTTGGATTAAACTATTTTTTTTCTACAGTCCCATATAGTGCACCGAAGTTAAAATATTACTGATCACATATGGAAGTAAGTATTGCATCTCCATATAAGCACAAGCCTATTTATCATTTGCTGCTTTGTTGCATTTTGTTTAAAATGTGAGCGCTTTCTTGACTTTTGCTTATGCAAATGTTGTTTTCCCTCATAAATGTATGACTTTGTATTAAATTCGGAATTAACAACTTAAGTCTGTTCAAGGTTTATTTTAATAGCATATTCAAAATAGTTTAATATACTATAAATTCCTTCCACTTTATGGAAATGCAAATGTATTCAACAATGACTAAATCAACAATAAAGACAAACTTAAATCAGCCATTAAGCATAAAAAGCAAAAATAGAATAAATTAGATTAAACAAAACTGTCCTTGGACAATAAAAGCCTAGATATCCTACTTTAAAAAAACAAAATAAAAAAGTCCCCAATAAAAGATGTTTCCATGTGTTCTTAAGATCACGATTAGGATGGTGAGCTTTTCAGAGAAAATATAGATTGTTCAACAGATTAAATGCCATCGCTATAAAAAAAAAAAGTACCAACTTCATCCCCACCAAAAGCTTTGTGAGTCTTTCATGAGTTCAAAGAATAAGCTCAGTTTATTCTATATTCAGTCTAGCTTGTTAAGCTCAGTGAAAATAGATGACCATCAAAAATTACTTTTACAACAGACATCAAACTCGGTTGTTTTAATGTCTGCTTTATTGGACAGCTTTGATCTTCACATATATGTGAAGAAGAAACGGGAGCTGTGCTTAAGATATCAACCCTGCGTGACACTTGCTTGAGCCAACTTCTACAAAGGTGTGCATTTGCAAGCAGTCTCTCTTTAGAGGTCTCTTCACCTTTCAGCCATCATCCTTTTTTCTCATTCAAATGAACAACATTGCAAAGAGACCTCAGCATTCACCAGTCACTAAAACCAGCCCTGTTCAAAATCATGATAATGCCTTCTCAGAATCTGAACAAACAGTATCTGCAGGTGACTACAGGGACTTATTAGCTAAAACTTTAAGACTTGAACATTCAAGTGAAATGCTTATAAAGGTTTAAAGAAAATATATCAATAAAATCATTAATAAATAGATAACTACTCCCTCCACTGAACACAGTATACACTGTATTATATAGCACTGTGAGACATGTCCAACAAGGCCTAAATGAACTCGGACAACATGCACAGGCACAGGCAGCACATGTTGGTCTCTTTGCATACCTTTCTGTTTGATTGGACTGACGCCTGCAGGGTACAGTGTTGCGGACACACGTGCCCGTTCCCGGGTCCACGTTCTCAACTATGACAAAGGGATGCTCCTCCAGGGTGGCCACAGTTAGGTGACGGTCATCAGACACTGGTTCCAGGAAGCTGCCGTACCGGGGCCAGATGGGGTAGCGAACCTGCAGGATGCCCCGCGCAAACGTGCCCACCTGAACGGAGAGTGTGCGAGAGCTCATCGGTATTACGAACACACATGTTAGAATCTGAGCTGTGACCTTCATGTCAACATGGATCATTCCCTAAAGGAAGGTTTCTTTTGTTGTTATTATTCAAACACATTTGCATGTGTTGACCTGGAGGAAGAGCACCAAAGGATGAAAAGGGAGAATTTATCATTAAAGCAAAATGAGGAGCTTTGAAAGTCTTTCAGCAGCCGAGCGAGAAATGCCCAGAAACTAAAAAGCAAACCAACTGCATCGTATTGATAATAGATTCCATCATGTCGGGTACAGGATCTGTGTTCATTTTGTTGACTGATTATTCAATCTATTTTCTTTTTTTTAACTAACAAGCAAATTTAAATGTCACAATTTATTAATGGACATTGTTGAAGTGACTACTTTAATTCATTTTGTGTCTCTTTGTCTGTGTTTAAATATTTGCGGCATTAGTATCAATGTTTAATTAATGGAGAAACATGTCTGAGCTCACTGAAATGAAAAAGAATGACCAAAGCCAGATTATGACAGAAATTGCAACATGATGATAAACAAAGAAGGCAAATTTCTATAAGAATTGCAGTTTAATATCACGTCAATACTCAATGAAACCCTGTCCATAAGAACAGGGACAGTCACATCTGAAAACCCAGTGAATCCTACTGAGGCAGACCTTCAGTGACTTTCTGTATGTAGGCTCTCTCACAGATTAAATTAAACCTTTTTAATGTCTTGATTTCTTCTCCATCTTACTTAAAGAAATGTTTTATCTTTATCATCGTGCATGGTTGACTTCCAATTTTGAGACACTTTTGAAGTAATCTGTTTCCTCTGAATGAAAGAGTTTTAGTTTTCAATTTGTAGTCTGCACTGAATGCAAGCTTCTTCTTCTTCTTGTCATTTTTGCATGAGCTGCACTATTAGAAGGTTTCCAAAACGTATTGACTTAATACTGGGTTAAATACAGGGTTAAAAAGACAGTGAAATCCTGGAATCTGGCGCAAAGATAGATTTTAAAAATAGGTTTATAAGATACTCATTATATTCTACTCCTTATTATATACTCATTATTATTATTCATTATACTGCAACTGAAAGGAGTTTTATTGCTTCTTATCATGTCTCCCTGGTGGAGAGGCAGCCTTTCATATATCATGCGGCTTCATGCTGAACATATTAACTGCAGCTCGTAAATATGCAACTTATCATATAGTTTTAACTAGTCTACTTCTATATAAATTTGATATTTATATTAACAGTTCTATTTATATTTACAGTTTGATTTGAAATTACCATGATAATGACGAAGACATTTTCGTCATTTTCTCTTGCCTTTTCTTCTCCGAGAATATTGATATGGAATAAGTACTTTCTCACTGCAAGTCATAAACTTATGTAATGTAAGCAACTAATACTATCTTTTTTCCTTTTATCTTTAGCCCAGTTCTGGATTGGATCCACTGGAGGTGGCAGCTAACAACGCATGCTGAAAAAAGCTATCATAAGAAAATGTTTCAGCACATTCAAACAGCAAAAGATTTAAAAAGCAAATGTAGTTACTCTTTGGTGACTGACTAAGGAGCTCCTAAGAATTCATATAAAAATTACCTTTGTTGGGAAAAAGGTTATTCAAAATATGTTTTGTATTTTTTTAACATATTTGGAACAAAAATGTCAATTATAGGTAATATCACAACTTTATCTTTTTTTATGCAACACGGTTTCACATTTTCAATGATTACAATTTACTCAAAAACAAGAATATGCAGCAATATAACATGTTTGCATTTAAAAACGTTATTTATCCATTTTTGAAGATAACATATTACATGGCGTCTTTTTTCATAATTTTGGCCTTGACACGTTCACAAACTCACCAGCTCAGATGCTTTACGCCGTATGGTGTTATCTATTCTTGTGCTGGTCCCACACCACATTTTTATCTCACAGCTTTTTCTTTTTCTGCTGCAGTCTCATAATGCTTTGGTTCACAAGAAAAATATATATGTATATTTGTCATTTTGGTTGCACAAGAGCAAATGTTGAAGGTGCACAAAAAGGGAAAAGGGGAGAAACATTGCTCTCCAAATAGGCAGCGAGCGGCACCCTTAGATGACGATGACGAACATCCTGTTAAACTGTCAGACTGTCACAGGGAAGCAGAGGAGCTTGAAAAGTGCATCGTGCCAGGATGTTATAACAGAGGCGATACATGAAGCTGAAGGCGAAGTACAAGTGAGCAATCAGAATGTAACGAGACAGGAACAAAAATGAAAGGAGAACACAGACGCTTGTACAGCATCCCGTTCAAACGTGTCTTGTTATTTGGAAGTCCTGTCAACATCAAATACCTCATGGGAACACACATAAATCTAGAGCATGTGAGGCTATTCCACATGTATGAACGACCCCTATCAGCACAATTATGTGACTGTGTTTGGACGCACTCATACAAACCTTCCAAGAAGTGACATTGATAAAGTAGGTTGGTCTTTCCAGGACAGAAATAAATGAGTTCAACTGTAGCTGTGAGATTACGCTCAGGCCTCTCTGTTAAGTCACAGTTTTTCAATACACCCTCAGGCCTTAATAAGTGTGTGTGCTTGTGAAAATGGGGAGTGAAAATAGTCTAGATTGCAAAGCATGGCTACGAGGAAATAGGACATGGATACATAGGAACAATGCACATAACCAATTTGAAATTAAGCTTACCCCTTCAAATATGTCCTATTTAATGGGGCCAACCATCTGCAGCCAGCCTGATTCTATTTGAAAATCTAATCTATCAGATTATAGACGTTTTCTTAAATCTTTCTTGTTTTTATTCCATGTTAAAATCTTAAGTTTTCATATAAAAATGCATACATCTATTTTTGGCCTTTTCATAAGTTCTAATTACAGTAAAATAAAGCTCAAAATCAAACTGACAGGATTCTCTCAGGGAATTTCTCTTTAACCTGTTTCCCTTTAACTAACCCCAAAGCCTCAAATCAAAACACATATTTCTAAATGCCAATACAGCTCTGATTCTGAATGTTTCTGTCTACCGGACGGATCTACGTCTATGATGTTCAAGAGACTGTTGAAGTTACAATTCCTTTGAGAAACTGTGAGCACGCAGTGCCCTTTCCCACAAAGTGCAGTGGCAAATACAGGACAAGTGTACCATAAATATGTTCCTTTAATACTTTTGGGATAGTAGCTCATGTCAGTTTGTGTTCACGGTTCATTGTGGACAAATTACATGTTGTTGTGATTCCACTGATGTCATACAGTACCTTGTCCCATAGTCTCTCCCGGTCCAGAGCAATGATGATCATAGCGGGGTTGGAGAGGAAGCCTTGGTTGTTAAAGGACAGATCTCTCTTTTCCCATGTTACATTCAGCATGTGCCTTTAAGCCCAACAGAAACAAGTGGAAACAACTTGAAAAGAACTTGACTGACACTTTCTACATTTTAAAGTGCATATTGATTTATGTGGATACACACACACGCACACACACACAATGATCATCTCCTAATTAAGCCTTAAGCACCCCTGGGAGGGTTTAATTTAATGTCGGTGCCTGGAAGTAGCTCATTAGGGGATGATAGCGGCAGGTGATTGGTTGGACAGCAGGATGTTCCCACTGAGTGGCTTTGCTGTCTGTTAAGGTATAAATTCATAATGGACTTGGCTGTGAATAATGAATCCAGACTCATTTGCATTTCAGAATATATGCAAAGGAGGCATATGTATTTTCACATCATGTCATCTTCTGGGAAGTTCAAAGCCAGAAGCTATGCCCTCCATCCATGTGTCCGCAGTGATCAATCTCTTTATGATCAATGATGAAAAATCAGGATATCATAATCACCGTTTAACAATTAGTCTGACTGACCGTAATGGTTTGTTCTGTTGTTATTTATCTTCTAAACCTTATACGATTTCCGCGTGTTTAATTTTTACCCACTGTTGATTGTTTTTTATTAGAAGTCTCTATTAAGGTAGTAAAAACTGTGGGCAGGAACAATAAAATGACAATTTTCCATGGGAAGCGGAATCTTAAATTAAAGATCTGAAAAAAATGACAAAAAAAATACACGGTCAGCATGAGTTTTGTAGTTTGAGCTGGGCACTAACAGAAGCCTTTGTTCAGCCACTCCCTTTGATGGAGTGGTGACCCATCCAGGCTGCACCCTGTTTGCCAGATGGCAGCGGGAATAGAGATCAGATCCCCTTCAACATGGATGGATGGATGGATGGATGGATGGATGGATGGATGGATGGATGGATGGATGGATGGATGGATGGATGGATGGATGGATGGATGGATGGAAAAACCCCTAATTTACTTACATATTATGTGTGCTTGTATTACAGATTTTTTAAATATTTTTAAATACTTCTTTTTAATGTAAGACTACTGGAGCCCGAGACATTTTCACTTCCAAAATGGCTACACTTAGTGAGTGTTTACATGTGACTACATACAGCAGAAAAACATGGATTTCCATCGTTTTGTACAGCTGAATCTTGAACCAATTAAGGTGAGAGTACTATTATTTCTTGATATAAACAACACACATAGTACATTAGTTAAGATCTACAAACATGAAACAGTTGAACGGTTAAAATAAAAAGTGATAACTCAGTTGTGCCTCACCTGAACAGAGTGTTGTTGCCCGTGTGTTTAGCTGGTTTGTTGCAATCACCATATCCTTCAGGAATAAAACCATAATCCCTCTTGAAACTCTCTGCCCCTTTGGCTACAATAGCAACACCCTCCCTCACTCTTTGCCGCAAGCTTTTCCTCCACTGATCTGTTGTCACGCCGATCACACCGACAGGGAACGTGGCAGGTGGGGGGCTGTCGGGGTCGCCCACGGCTAGACTGGGGAGGATCCAGATGTAACCTGGCCCCAGCAGGCCCACCTCAGCCGCCTGACGAAACAAGTACTTAGCTTCCTCGTGGGAGCAATATGCCAGCAGGACCTGGGAGTCCACCTGGAGACACAGACAAGATCCGTTGGTTGTCGTCACTGAGCAGAATTAAACAGAGCATCGGCTCACACTGCCTGCTCTCTAAAATGTCAAATGTCTCCCTTTCAACACTTGATGGATTTTGTAGGTTCTCTTTTGAACAACATTGTGAAGGGGGGGCGAGAGCTGTTCCCTGCTGTCAGAAGACAAGAGAGGGTAAACCCCGAATGGGTTGCCATTTGATCACGAGGCCACACGTAAACAAACAACCATGCACACTCACTCACATTAATACCAAGGAGACGACACTTCTGTGTGAGGTAAAGTGAAAGACATTACTCAGTAACAGTTGATTTCTGCTTATTGCATTGCCTCTTTGATGTCAAATTCCACGGGTTTGCTGTTTTTTTACCTCAAAAACTGATTACTTTCACAAGCATAAAACAGGAGGCTTGTTATTTTAAAAGTGTGCGTAAAATGCATTTCCATCTCTGGACCAATAGTGACATCAGCACAAAGTATTCAAAAACAGAAGATTATATGTTGTGGCATCTTAGTTGCGAAATCATTTTTGTTTAGGATCAAATGTAAGACCTCAGTAAATAAAATAACATGTCATCATACCTGCTGCAGCACTCGTTTGGTCTTCATATCATTGGCCCCGACAGACATTTCCAGAGACATGATATCCTGAAGATTCCACAGGAAGTAGGAAGTGTCCGTGTATGACTGAACTATATCCACAAAGGTGTCGTAGCCTGGCAGCAGGCTGGTGATGACTGCAAACTCGCCCCAGTCGTACTCTTCCAATAACTGAAGCAGAAGTAGAGTTCATACAGGTGATCATATTTAATTTAATAAAGTAAAAAAATACTTTTATGAAGAACTATAACAATTGTGACATTTTGAAGAGTTGGATGTGACTATTAGCATTTGTCTGCCAGCAGCTTTGAAGCAACAGAAATTGGAATTCATAAATAGCTATTTTTTGACAAATGATTCCCTAAATGGCAGATTGTACTTTCAAGACTTTTCACTTTTCATTGTAGACTGAACCATCACAAACTGAAGTTTGAGTGAATGAGATTTACAACCTTTTCGGAGGTGCATTTTGTTAGCAGGGACAGAAAAAGGCCAGCAGTTTTTTCCCCCTGTTTGCAGTTTTGCACGATACCGGAATTATCTCATTCTTTCTCCTGTATCTAAATATGCCCTCAGATTAGACCGCTGTTATTGTAAAGATGATTGTTAACGATGAGGAAACATTTAAGGTTGTACAGTACATTACAAATACACATAAATCAAATGTACATTTTATAACTTCAGTGATTGGATCATTAATGTGCAGGGTGATCCCCTGAGAATGTGAAGACCACAATCCATCATAAATCCACACTGGATATGATGTGGTATCTGGGCCAGAACTCCAAATCGGGGATTCCCCCACTGATATCTGGAACATCCCTTCATGAAGGTAATCAGCCTGAGATGTCAAGCTTAATTGTCTACTCATTTGTTATTGTAACCTACATTCTACCAGTGTTTTAATTAGGTTTGACTGTTGGTTGTTCTGTTATACCTTGAACATGCAGATGACTTGCTGCTCTAGAGAAGCCCCCATCTGCAAAAAGGAGGATCCCTCAGCCTGTAAAGAGGAAAAAAGTCTCGTGTAAAGATACAAAACAGCCAACTTGCTCTTCACAGCTGTCGTTCATAGAGGCAAAAGCTTCAAATGCCGTTAGGGCTTGTAATAAGCACTTCAGAAAACAAATTGTGTGTTGGCGATGTCGGCCCTCAGGTTATCCAACATGCTTCACCTGTGGAGACAATAACTCAAATTCAAAATATCAAACGTTCATCAAACCTGTCACAACAGAGGTAAACTACATGTCCCCTCTGGTGACAACTGTGTGAAAAACAGTGTCCCAGCAGCGTCCATGCTCACTCCTTCCCACAAAATACTAATGGTCCCAGTCATTAGTATTCTGTGGTAAGGATCAGTACAAGAAAACTGAGCCAAGGGCATCATTTGTAATATTTTGGACAGTAATAACTGAGGAAATCCTGTTGATGCAGATCTACAAGTTTTGATCATTCTCAAACAAACAGTATGAATACAAATCACTTTCACTTTTTACATTTTTTTCCAGAAATAGGTAGAAGCTCAACAACATCTTGCTTTTCTTCCTTGAGAAAACCCAGCATTTGTGATGAATTCAGGCTAAACTCTTTAACTGCACTGAAACTGCTCCACTGTAAGTGGCGTTGAAATGATGGGGCTTGTTTCATGGCTGAGTGTGGCTGAAGTGGAAGTTGAACCGCAGACAGCGCTTTGTGATTGCACAGTTTTCAAATCACCACCCCAAGATAGGAAAATGTGTTCAGAAACATGAAAACATACAAAGTAATCACCTTATCTACTCAAAAGGCAAAACTCCCACCACCATTGGTATCATGCTGCTCAGTCTTAGATTAATAGTGTGGCCACTGTTTAATGACTGAGTCCAGTGCTTATTGGTTTGTGGTCATGACTTAATCATCTTGTTCATGAGCATTAATACTCTTGAATACATAATAATGCAATCATATTTGTCCCAGCACTGTTTCCATAGATGCTACACATTAAATAAGCTAAAAGTTCATTGTTTGTTCCAAACATTTTCCATTTTGCTGCCCTAAAAAGCCATGTGTCTAAATAAACTAACAGATATCAAACAAAAGAAAATGACATAATGGAGAAATCACAGCGGACATTTCAAGCCTTTTGCCTTTTGTAGACAACTGAATTGGTTTCACATTTTGAAAATCTTGATGAACAATATCCTTAAAAAGGGTTCAGAATTGTTACAATATGATTTTGTAGAAATATGGATGAGGGTACTGTATAAAAACTGTTTCCTTGATTTTTAATATTATGTATATTACAAACCTTTAATTCTTTGTTTTCAGCCACAATCTGGTACACGTGTCTCTGAAGAGCGCACACTCAGTCCTGCTGCTCTCTTTCTGTCATAAGGGGTGGTCCAGGACTGTGCGTGTCTGCGTGAGTTCGCATATATTTGCATTCCCACTCACAGCGTGCTGACAGCAAAGAGGTTGTTGAACTCATTCAGCTAGCTTTTCAGGGAAAGTAGGCAACACAAGTGAGAGGAGGAGCTGTGTTGGATGATGTGGGAGAGTAACAAGAATCGAAATTACACATAACGACCTGTGATGCTCTCTTTTAGCTTCTGACGCAGTCAAAGCTTTGATATGAAAGATAATTAATCTAGTTTAAGGTTAATGATTCAAAGCAGGCTAACAATGGTTTACATAAGATAATAAGCAGTTATTTTTTTATTTGCAGATCAGGTTCTGTCTCGACAGTCAGCAGAAAATTGGGACAGATTTGGACAGAGATGAACTTTTGTTTAATAAATGTGGGAAAATGTGTTTTAGCAACATTGTTCTCAAAGCAAAAGAGACCTACAGACTTTAAACCACTTCTAGTCTCACATATTAGTAATGTTCGAAAAGAAAATGTATTTTTGAGGCCTACTAAATATGATATCAAATGCATAATGATTCTGTCTATTTTCAAAGCCCAGATGGTTCACTTTTAAATGTAATTTGTCATATTATAGCATCATGTTTCTATTGGTGATAAGAAATGTCCTGATTCAGTTTTTAAATTAAGCTGAAAGATGGGAAACAAAAAGTGTTCGACATTGATTTATGCTATAATGAAATGCATTGAGGAAGTTATCAATTGCATTCACACTTAAACAAACCTCATAACCAGAGCAAGAGTAGCTTTTCTCTGAAACCATCTCACTCTGACCAATCTATTCTTTTCTGTTTTCTGCCATAGTTAACAGAGGTTGGAGATCTAAGCGGCCTAATGGTGCCTCGGGGCATAAGTATACATGTGATGTAAGAAAGTGAAAGAGCGTGGAGGGATGTGACTTAATAACATTCTGAATTTGAATTCACAACAGAGAGCTGGTGTTAGGTGTCGACTTTCTTTTTTCAATGTATTAAAAGTGCCCTGTTGCACAAACTGAAGACAGCGACATTCTTTTGAATCCTAAAGCACACCGGTGTACACTCCGGTAAAAGAAATCGCGCATGGGAGAAAAAGGCAGAAAGGAAAAGAGACAGAGAACAGGTAGAGTTAAACTGTCAAGTGCCACTTGGGGCCAGATCTCAGATCTTTTTAGTCTGTTCTTGTCTCAGAGGTGACTACCTGTCATCTCATCCTTCTGTTGATCTTCCCTCTCCCACAGTTCAGAGCCTCGGCAAAGCCCAAGAGAGCTCTGCTGCCTGAGGACTACCACACGAACATCACAGCTCGGCTCTCTCTTACTCAATTTTACCGGTTTTATCTCTGTCTCTGCTTGTTCAAGACTTGCATCTGGAGCTGAAGCACCACCAGACCACTGACTGGGCCCTACACCAAAATAACTGTAAAAATAGCATTAACTGGCCGTGTCAGGGTGTTACTGAATGAATGAAAAATGGCGCAGAATCGGCAGTCCTTCTTTAACTACACTGGTTGATATGTGAGAGAGGCACATGGGTGCTTCACCTCAATGGCCATCAACGTCCAATTAGTTGTGTCTGAGCAATTTAAAAAACTGTTTATGTGAAGACCTACTTGATCTTATCAGGGTTTTATGGCAACTTAATTAAAGTCAAAATCAAGCAAAACCGGCGGACTTTTCATTTTCTCCTCTGTTGTGAATTACTACAAAGTGACCCTCTTTTCCATGTTTAAATTTAAGAGCAACACATCCACATGAAGAGACAGGGTTCACCCTCCCCTTCCTCTCATCCTCTTCTTCCGAGCCATCTTGTTCCCATCACCTTGGCAGTGCAGCTGTCACACATAGGCGTAATTAGCAGTCTTACTGCAGGAGCGTATGGTAATGTGACAAGAAGGCAGTGGGCACGGTAGCCGCACACACACACTGTGTGTGCTTTAAGCAGTACCTCCCCTCAGCGGTTAGGCCAGTGCCGGTCACCCATACACACACGACAGCATCTCACATCTAGATGCCATTTTAAATTCCCTGGTAAGGTTCAAATGTGTATAAATTCTGGTGTATGAGCGCTGAACTCATCGAGAGATGAACTTTTGGGCAAAAACATTCTTTATAAACTGTAAAAGTCTTTACAGAACTTTTGCACAGGTTTTAAAAAACAGTAAAGACCAGCAGACTAAATTAGTTGAGTTAGCTAACTTGTATTTGAGGTAAAAAAGAGTCCTTGATTGATAGCAGGATATTTGAATGTAGAAATGTATTTCTGTTCGGGCCGGTCAACTCATTTAAATGTAAATGTGACCAATCACATGACTGTCCTTAATTAACTTGTGATTGACTGCAGAATTGTAAAAATATTTCTGTAAATGTAACTTTTAGGGACATATTTAATGCTTCAATCAACTTAAAACCAGACAAATATGTTTACTTTATGCAAGCGTATGTTAGATTTATTCTTCTGAAAACATGAAAAAAAATTTAAACAGGTTACAAACTAATTGTGTGTTCTGTCTTTGGCAAGTGGGAAGAGATATTAGCAGCATCTGTGTGTTTCAATAGCAAATTAATGTAACATATAAATGTTTTTGTAAAGCACATCTGCATATTATTGTAATTTATATAAAGCTATGAACCAGAATAAGATTTTTTTTTTTTTTTTGGTTGAACTATGTCAGACTTGCTTCTGAAGAATGTCACCAATTGTTGGTGCATGTAATCATAACTTGTTTAGCCACTACCAAGTGGAAAGTTATGGGATAAATAAGCTGAGGGCCTTTGGTTTCTCATTTCTTAAACTCCGCCATGGCATAGCAACCTTTACATCCCCATCATATAGAGTTAGCAGAGTTACAAGCCTGCCTCACTGCCCCCCCCGCCCTCAAGTGATGCCCCTATGTAATTGTCTAATTCTAACACAGCACTCGGTGGCATAATAACGCCACTCTGAATGAGCGCCACATTGAAATGATTGGGCTCCTGCTGTCAAGTTTGGAACTGACCTCACCATTAACATAGACTCTGCTTTCCAATGGGAAAACTGTGCAGTGGCTCTGGGCTTCTCGTGACCTGTTTATGGAAATTTTGATTTCTGGATCGTGAGGCCAAGAGAGAGTCAAAATTAGAGGTTAGAGAGAGGAGATACATGTATGGAAAGAGAGACAGAGAAAGCGGGTCAATCTCGCCAGAGAAACAAAACCCAAAAAAAGAAATGAACACTTCTATCCAGAGAGGGACTTCTGGCTCGTATCTTCGCTTCAGCCGAATATCACATACCAAGTATGACCTTAGAGTTCTCAGAATGTAACTGCTGAACTATAATCGTCCAATGACAGCCTCAAATTGTAACAAATGATCTTCATATGCTCAAATACTTGAGCTCAGTAGGTTCCCTGCTAAAAATCCATCATCCACAAACGTAAAAGACACTTTAGATCCTGTTTGTATGCATGCGCATTAAGCTGCCAACCTAGTTTAGAATTTATCGTCACCTTCAGCCATGGTTACATTATTTGATGCTTGAAACTTAAACAAAATCTCTCAAAGCAAAAATTCAAACATCTCTCAATATGTGTTTTTATAGAGCAAATTATGATAGTTGTACAAAAATAGTTATGCTCCTTTATTCTAAAAATCACTCATTGGCTGAATGAAGCTGAATGATTATTTATGCAGTCTAGACTATTTTAAAAGGTTTCATGCATCAATGGGTTTTAGTAGAACAGCCAACTGTGAGGAATGTGTTGAAATGCTAAGTTATTCACTATCTTGTTGACAAGAATAGGTGGAACAATGATTAATGATTACATTACTTTAAAAAAAAATACATGTACACACATTTGTACGGACCAACATTTAAACTGTTTGAGTTTCAAATATGCACAAAACTGGGACAAGTCATAACTGAAAAACTCATTTTCTTTCAAACACTCCCAAGCATATTTTTGTTATTAGATGTCAGGAAAATGTGTATTCTTCCACAGATTTCTGGGTACTGAGAAAAATAAAATGAATTAAATTCTGGGACTCCAAGACAGGCTCTGTAGTCATGGTTATTATTATCATTACAAGCAAAGCGTTCAGATATCAGAAAGTGAAAAATCTCAACGAGCAGATCAAACTTTTATTGTTTATAAAGCTTCCCCTGCAGCCTCCACGCCGACCCACAGTTCAAATGCTCACGTCCCAACATCTGGAAGCAGCACCCTCTAATGATCACCCAGCAAAGTGCAAAGACTGCCGGGGGCACAGAAACAGGAAAGATACTCAAGCTCTGATTTCCAACTTCTCAGTGACAAGCTGCAATATTTTCTCTTCTACGGTTACTGCCCCCATTATGTAGTTTTAATGCCTTTTCTCAGCCGTTCCTCATGCTTTTCTCATTTCCTTTTCTTCACTTTAGCGTGATGCATGTGCGGTCTGACAAAAGACACACTTCCTCTCCTCCCCTCAATCTTTTCATCTTTGTCTCATTCCCTCTTTCCTTGTTGTTTGGAATAGAGAGAGATCACTGAGACAGGAACCATAAATAGGCAGCCCGGGTGGCTGCCGCTTCTTTTTAAACCACCATCAAAGATATTCATCATCATCAGGCTATTGATAATTAAACAGTATTGAGCTCTTTTATCCCTGTAGAGAAGTATGCGCTCATGCATACATCTTCCTCTGTCCAATCCACCTGTCCCATTGTGCCAGACACCTCTAAGAAGCTTTTCTTCTCCTTTTTGACAACAAAGGAGTACATAAGACAGAAAAAGGAGGCGTGAAGGAGGACTGAGTGACACTGTCAACATGCAGACCACAGAGGAGGGTACATAACTCTTTGTGCTATATTGAGACTCATCACTCACTACTTTCAGCTGCTCAGAAAGTGGTCTCTTGCTACGATAATCTGTGTGTTCTGTTTCACCTGTCAGAAACAGATGATATATAATCCAGGCGGAGGATATTTGGTTGGCTCGGCGAATAACAAACCAGCGACCGTCGTCGCCAAAAAACCTTTTAGAGCCAGTGGAATAACTGTTCTTACACAAATATATCAAAAGAGGTATTTGAAGATTTTGCCTGGAGCAGATGGCAAAAAGAAAGATGAATTGGTTTGAAGTTTGGAGCACCATCCTCCTGAAGGGAGTGGTTAATAGTTTAATGGCATCCTGAGGCTTCAGGGGAGTACGACGGAGCACAGGCCACTGGCTTACCTGTGGCAATATACTTAATATATCCAGCACACTGAGAAAAATTGAGGAGGAGATAAAGGAAGATGCTAACCAAAGGGACAAATAATCTAAAAGGAAAACACCAAAGAGGTGGGAATATTAGACAAGATAAGAAATGGACAGGGCAGAAAAGAGGGACCAAAATGAAAAAAGAGAGGAAAAGTCTGGCACTGGGGAAAAATAATGACTATTTCATTCACACAAGAGAGAAGGAAGAGTTATCTGCGAGACAGTAAAACGCTGCCTTCAGGCAGCTGTCAGCCAAGCTTCAGTAAAGCATCTTTCTCGTCTCCACGTCGCTTACTCACTCACTCTGCCATTCCCGCGTTTGCCATCGGAATACAGCAAATCAATCACCCTCCCGCAGCTACAACTCCTCCTATTTAACACTCATCCATGATGTGACATCTGCAGATACCTTTTGATTAACAGGAAGCTGATAAATACAACACGGTTTACAAACTATAGCCGGGGGGTGGAATTCATGATTGGCTGCCGCATAGCAACACTTGGCTCCGTCTGGAGTCCTCTTGTGGTGGATAGGTGTTGAAAAGCACCCACTTGGCTCTTTGTGTGCGCTTTTGCATGTGACAGAGTTTGTTCACATGTGTGTTTCTGCGCGAGAGTTCCTTCTATAAATACGAGGTGCCGAAGATGGCAGTTCAGCAATTAAAGGAAGGAAGGGGTAGGAGAGCTGAAAGCGAGGATGGGAGATGTAGAAGAGATGGAGCCATTTTCCAACTCAAAAGTGGGGACAAAGTAGAGATTAAGAATCCATCTAGAGTCATCAGTCTCTTCTTTACAATCCAAATACATAGTTCACTATTCTGATTCTTAATTGATCAGCATGATTCATAAGAACAACTGTTGAAGAAACCAGATTGATTGAAGCCCAGGTTGTCCATAAAACTCTCCTCCTCTCGCAAAACTTTCCCCTCCAACAACTCGCCTCGTCTCAGCCAGGGATTAAACGAGCTAATAGGGGTCGAAGGCAACAGCCATCACTGATAATTCACGTATCTGTATTACTCATATCCAAATATTTGCACGCTGGGAGTTTCTCTTGCGAAAGTAGGCTTCACAGCGCTGACCTACTTAAGTTGTTTTAAGCTGAATGATGTTGGTGCGTGAGAGTTGTGACTAAGGCAGGAGGTTGTGAGGAGTAAGTGCTTCTGCTGACAGGGTTTACACTATAACATGTTCATACAGCATGTTGTTTTGGCTTTAAAGCTTGTTTGAGTGGCAATAAGACAGACTAGTCAGAGCCCAAGTCAAGCTCCGTGGAGCTGATGAGAAAATGAGGGACTGATTATATTGACAGTACCTTGTATGGTATGACAACTGCAGAGCCGCCGCTGATGCCCACAATCGGCAGAGATGTCTGAGTGGAGAGAAAGTCCAGGATTTGTGCCACTTCTGCCACCTGAGGACAAAACAGAGATAAAATCGGCGTTGCGTGGTGGGAGATAGAAGTCCCGCACACGGCGCGCCCTTTTGATGGACTCTGATGATTGATTTCGTGTCACCGGTTGTCAGGCAAAGTTCAGATTTTAGTTTTAGATGAAATGTGAGAAGGTATTAAGAAAAAAAGACATCTTCTTAAAGGTCTTGCAGATATGTTTTGTGGCAGGAGGAAAAAACACTGAAAAGAGTAAGGCATGTAAATTAATGTTAAATTTATGAACTAGGTAAAATAGTATTTTTTAACATCAAATACACACAAATGTCAGACTTGCATTTGTTTTCCACTAGTGGCTGAAGTGGAAAAAAATCTCACATATCAAATAGACAATACTTCTTCCATCTAGTAAAGAGTGTGATCAAATAAAGGTCAGTTTAAGTAAACATATAAAAACCTATGTAAATTGGTTGGTAACACCCTCTTTCAGCTCTTGTTCTGGTGGATTTGGACTCAATCTTTTTTTGCTTCTGTTTCTATTTATGTGGATTTTCTTATGCGATTGGAATGGTAAATGGCCTCTACTTAAAGGATACCATGTCTGTTAACTATGTCTATGCTCCACAATATTCTTCTTGGTTACAAATGTATTACACAAAACTTTTTCTGCTCATATATTTAATATATGTATATATTATTTATATAATTTCTCATGGCTACGACCGAATCATCTGACACTGGACTGACTCTAAATTAGATACTTTTTTTACTCCTCTCAAATTTAAGATGTCCCAGAATAAAAGGGGCTCTACACTTAAACACATACACTAGAGCACATGAGAGGCATTAAGGAGTTCAAGATGCACATTGCGTTGATGAATTTATTAGATATTGTACTTTGCAAATTTCTGATAACATCCATCCTAAGTCTTTTAAATCCTATTGAAGTTCTTTCTCAGTGACAGAGTTTTGATCTGCCTAACAAGCAGTTCTCTCTTGGAGTTTTCTAGGTCTTAAAGACCTCAACATGACCTCTACTGATGCTATTTCTTAATTACATTATGAACTCAGGAAATGGCTGCCTGAGAATGCTTTTCTGTCTTCTTATGGCCTTGTCCTGCTTCATAGGCATCGGTTATGTAAATTTTCAGAGTGCTATGCAGTTTCTTCGATTGGCTGTGGCTCCTGATAATCAGGAAACCAGAACATTTAAACAGAAAAAGACATTTAAAGACCCAAACATTTACTTAGCAATATATTCAATTAGTTAGTTAGAAAGAAGCTTTGAAGGTAGCATTACTTTAAGAATTAAAAAGGACACATTTTTAAATCTCTGTTTATGTTTTGCTTTTAGGATTAAGTGCCACCTATTTCCCATTACAATCGTAAATATTAATGCCACGATTAAATTTCAGGAAAAAAAATATACATGCTGGGAATCTTTAAGTTTCTTTGCCAAGAAATGTGCAGATTTGCGGAATAACTGTGGGTTGGTGAACATTCCAACTGTGAGGAGAATATCCATCAATCCATTAATCTATCTATTTTCTGTCTATGTCAGGTCACCAGTGTATCACAGCCACACAAAGACAACTATGAGACAGAAAATCTTACACACTAATGCTCCTACGGTCGATTTGGAGTCAGTGAAGAGAACATCTCACTTTTTAAAAAAGGCCAAAATGTGGATACGGTATTTACCTGCGCACCCGCACCTGAGCCCACATCATCCTCAAACACCACGCCATGCAACTTCTCTGTTGCCATGGTATCGCAGAGGTGCGTGAGCAGGTCACGCGGGTTGGTGTCGTTGACCAGCACCGTCACGGGGCTGACCACCACGGGCAGGTCAACAAAGTTCTCCCCGCTGAGACGACCTCTGACCTCATTCTGATAGCTGGAGCCGCTGAACACCACTGCCACGTTGATGGAGGACTGGATGAGGAGCGGCCTTGCCTGCAGTCGCAGCAGTGAGGTGATGAGGAGGAAGAGAAGAAGGAAGAGGATGGCGGACCAACGAGAGGCCATTTTGGCCGCCTACAACCTGGGCAGGGAATAAGGAAGAAGAGAAACAAAAACGGCAATAATCAATCATACAAGCTGCTTTACTTTTGGAATGTTAAGACACAATCATTCGTGATCTACCATTGCATGTTCATCCCTTATCTTTCATCTCTTGTCAGCATTGGCCCTGTATTTACCATCTTATGTGATCATGAAAACTCTGTGTGAACATGAGTCAAAGTCTGTGCGGATGTAATCCTTCATAATCCAACCCCTAGTGCCATAACTGTAATCACCTCGCTATCTCCACACATCAATGAATCAACACACACACACAGTGCAACCGGGATGCCAAAGCAGTCCCACAGGTCTGCAGCTCTCCTAAAGCTGTGTCCATCAACTCATTCTCATCCAAACACCGAAAAACACTTTGTTAAAAGTATATAATTACATTATAATCTTGTGTATATATTTTACCAGTGGTCCATCGTTTGTTGTTGGGTTGCCTATAATTAGAGATTATAGAGCAAATATTTACTTTTGAGTATCAGGTATCAATTTGTGTGTAAAAGAAAAGCATGAAAAAACAATCTAATTTCTAACAGAATACAACATCCTGCTGTGTTCTAGTTTAAGTCTTTTAGTGAATATCACACAATTACATCCATATCCAAGTTTTCTATTTTTAATTGTCCTATCTTTCACAATGCTCCACACACCAGCACAGGAGTTGTTGTAATGTCTAACTTTATTTATTCGTGAAGAGTCAGACCTCAGGTCAATAGATTAGATTTGTGGAAAGGAAATAAGCCCTCTGACCCCGCCTCATGATCATCTTCATCAACCCGTGGCTTAACACAACCCACGTCTAAAATAAATTCCACTTAAACATATACAGAATTTTGAAAATATCAATTAATTCATGCCCACAATTCACTTGAATGTAGAAAAAACTCATCATAACATTTCAGACGTTTGAAATGAACAGTTTGATTTTCTCAAAACAAAAGTCTATGATAACACAGGGTCATGTTCACCACTGTGTGAACCCCTGCTTATGTTTGGTTGGAATCTGTAATTTCCACCTTCAATGTCTGTCTGATTATTTCTCCAGGTTATTTTGGAATGGTGTTCTGTGCCAAAGATATTTTAGTCCTTGAGTTACCTGCTGTTATCCAATGAGAGCTTTCACAAATCTATTTTAATTGTTGTACTGTATAACCGTGCTCAGGGTTTATTTTCCCACCATTCGGTTAATAAACCTGTATTTTTTGTTGGCTTTTTACATTTAAACGCTATTTTCCATTTTTCATTTTCGTTGCTTTTAAAGCACATTTAAAGGACTCCATCATACAAAGCTCTTAATGACCAGGCTGCCTCACATGCTGTGCTGTTTTCCAAACAGTGCTCTTCTCTCTAAGACTGCAGGTCTACATGTGGTTCTTAGAGTATCTAAAAATAGAAATGGGAGGCAGAACCTTCAGTTATCAGGTCCTCTCATGTGGAACCAGTTTTGAACCAGAGTTGGTCTGGGAGGCAGACACCATGTCTACCTTTAAGGTTTGGCTTCAAACTTTCCTTTCGACAAAGCTTAAAGGTAGGAATGGCTCAGGTGAACCTGAAGCATCGCACCGTAAGGCTGTATTTGCATGAACTGCTTGGGGACCTCCCATGATGCACCTCTGCTCCCTGTGCCCCCTTTACACTCCATGAAATAAAAGAAAAGCAGAAAACAAAACAATCTTTTACTCCTTAATGCATCTAGAGTGTCCTAAAAAGGGTAAAGCAAGCTTGAGAGAATGATCTGAAATATAACCTTTCTTGAAACGCTATCAAGACGACTGAAACTCAGCGTTAAATGGGTCACCGCCATAATCAACATCTAATTTCTGATGTTCATTTGCTAAACAACTCCCCGCCTCCCCACCCTCTGCATATGGATTAAGCTCCTTTTAATAGAGTCTGCTGTTTGAAGATCTTTTCTTATTGAATCAATATCTTTTGAACCATTTGACAAAGGCAGATGTGCTTTAATATAGAAAAAAAAAGGGATCTTCACATACACACACATATTGGACAGGTAGGATGGGATAGATGGTGTGTCGGTTTCATCTAGGGCCATCAGAGACTCTCTGCTAATGAACGGCTCCTCCCAGCTTTGATTCAAAGCAGCACAGGGTTAAAAGTGTACAACCCATCAACACTCATCACACTTCTGGCATATCAATCACTGATTTTAATTAGATTCTAATCTACCAGGTTTATGGTACTCATAACAATAAATAACAATTCTATTCACAACAATAATCCATCCTTGTTACATTAAATATTAATGTACTTGTCTTTCTCTCATAAACATACGTCTTCTGTAGATTACATTTGCTTCCACAGATTCTTTTGCTTGATTCAAAAGGCGTTGGTTTACAAAAGGTTGGTGATGCTTTGGGTTTGGTTTAGTCTTCATGTGACATTTTTTTACTGAGTCCACACAGACAGGGATTTGTTGCAGGATAAATATAACGGTTTGTTTGACAGCATTGTGTAAAAGCCATCAAGGAAACATATTAGCAAAAGGGCAAGTACATTAGGTAGTTAGATTAACCATCTATCACCATTTATCATAAAGCTGACAATAACCAAAAGCGGTAAATTGGTCATTTAAAGTTGTTGTGGACAGAGAAACAAAAATCATATTTTTCACTGAGTAAAACCATAATTTTTCTATGATGTTTTTTCCATTGCAGACAATCTGCCTCCCTGATAATTAGTACAATCCATGCCAACTGTAGCTGTAGCTGTTAGCAAATAATTAGCCACAAACTCATGCTTTGAATTATAGCAAGATGGATTATTGTGTGATCATGAATGTCATGAGAATTTGGTTGCCTCGCCAAAATTATTACAAAACCATAGTTAAACGGATTATCATGGAGCAGCTCTTTCTAAAAGTTCAATATGTGACCTTTAAAAGATATTTAGAGCCACAGAATCTCAGTCCAAAACACATCAAGCAAAAACTGGAGGTAAACTGCAACATTGAGCCTTTCACCAAAAATTACCACTATATTGCTCCCACAATGAGTGGTGGAAGAGTGGTTCACTGGAGTGGTGGAAAAATAAAGTAGAAGACAGAAAGAATTTTCTTTGCAAAAGAAGAGAGCCAAATAAGAAAAAGGACAATTGCTCATTGGATTAATCATTTGACTAAAGATCAAGTCAAGTGTTTATTTTTAAGAGTGATCTCTGGAAAATAGCAGTAAAATAAAGCCATACATAAGCAGTTTTTGTGTTTGAGTGTATCTAAAGGGATGAAAGTATCTGCTCCAGAGGTAGGACGTACAACATGAATCTAACAAAAAAAACAGTTATCAATGTTTTCATCATTTCAAGCTGATCTTCTAGATAACCTGATAGTTTTAAAAGAATAGACCAGACTTTGTGTAGAAAATGTACCACAAAAACCCACAAGGATCCCAGATTTTTAAAATGTCTGAATTTGTATCTGTGTGCTCATTTTTAAACATGCTCTGTGAAAGTGACTGAACAAGGCACTTCACTCACAGGTTTTCTATTATCATGGAGATTTCCAGATGGAGTTGAGCTTCTCCATGTGGGATAAACTCTCTCACCAGGTCTGACACTAGTTATGCAGCTGCACAGAGGAGGGCCATGGAAACAACACAATATTAGTACACACTTTTCCAGCAAACTGCTGCATAATATTTCTGTCCCTTTTTAGGCCTTTTGTCAAAAGGCACAGATGTTCAGCCTCTTAGTCTCTGAAAGTAGATCAAATTAGATTATTCTCAAAGCTTAAAAGTTATTTCATTTAGTTTTGCAGCCCTATTCTATTTGGGCGTCCATTGGTCCTTTTCCCAATAAATATTTGTTTGGGTTCAAACTCCCAAAAAGTGTAAAAAATATTCCCAGCCAAACTGCCAGAATTTTTTACAGGAAAGGACTTTTAATGACAACATGACCTAACCAAACGACTGAATGGTGAACCTGGTGGACCAAATACTGAACAACATGCCGAAAGGGAAGTTTTATTTCAAACAAGTCCTCTGTTCAGTATTCATCCATCCATTCATCCATTTGAAAGGAAAAAGTCTCTTGTTCAGCTGTTTAAATGGGATATTATTGGGTCCCTATAGTGACTCCTCAAGGGATGGCGAGGAAATTAACAGAGAGGATCCATAGTGGTTGATGGGATGCATATCATCATGAGAGAACTATTGACAAACCTGTCTCAATCTTTGCTTTGTTTTTTTGTTCTTTTCTTCTTGGGGGTTGGTTGGGGCTTTTAGTGTGTAATTAGGAAGTGTGAATTATAAAATATCCTTTCATGAAATATTGCCAATAAGGTGTTCAGCTGTAGGAAACATTAGGAATTTCAAAAGCGTATTTATGCAGATTAGAAGTGCAAAGATTTCAAGGGTATGTTAATAACGCAAAAGTACAGGTAAAAGAAAAAATCTGTTCTCTTTCCAAAGCATTAGCATTTTTGCAAATTACTACAAAGGTTTCACGCCATACAACTCCTATTAGAAGTCCTGTTGTTGGACTGTCCTAAAGGGAGCATATTTTACCAACTGAATACATCTGGTTCGTTATGAAATGCAAACAGCAAGGCTGTTTACTACTTGGAATTCAATCAGAGCAAAAAGGGACAATGTCCCTCTCACAGTGGTCCAGCAGCCGGTCTCACTCTGTGAGGAGATGCTCAACAGTGGTAAAGCTGGTCTGTCCCAAATCTTTACAACCCTGTTGCTGTGATCCAATTTTAGAAGGTCTAATATGTGTGTCTGTCTTTCAACACTTTATATTTTCTATGCTCTAAAATGTTGTTTTATGAGATATGTTCATAATGCTGTTTTATTCATTTTTTACACAGACTCCCAACTGCTTTCGAATTGGGATTATATAATATGTTACTTGGATAGCTGAAATAGTTAGAAATGATTTCGATGTTCCACAAAGGGTAAAGAAATAGGTTTTTGTTTAACTTTTAATGCCCCTTTAATTATATTCTGCCCCCTCAAAATTCTTCAGGGGGCCTCATGCAAGTAAATACTTCCACCAAAATAATGCATTCTGTTTTTGATTATACTGTACATAACTTTCTGCCATGATCTTGTTTATTATTGAATTGCCAACACAACAGCTGTAAATAAGTGAACAGATAAATAAATGTATTTAGCAGAAGAGAAATTTTATAACTTCGACTGTTTTCCAATAAACAATGACAATTTTTCCGGCAATATACTTATACAGAAATTCTATGTTACTGACTAAAAGTTGTATAACTGTATGCATGTACCGAGTGAAGTCGGTTTTAAGCAGATGTGGTCGCAGGGCCGTCTTCTCTGAAATTTTGATTGGTGTATGTCTGATTTACAGTGGGCCAGCTGGATTTGGAAATCTTCTCACCTTGTCAAGCATTCAACTCAGACGGTCTGTCTGGCCTGCAATGATTTCCTGTAAGGCTGTCAAATCTTGAAGCGCGAGAGCCAAAACCTCCCAGTGTGTGGCGTTCCAGAGGTAGCAGTTAAATTCCTAATTATGATAAATTCATGCAGCCGGCGTTATGTGATATGTTTCGTAATAAGCTAGGGGGTTCAAAATGACATGCTCATTCATTCACATTGTGGGTTTCATTTGTAAGTGGACGGCTGAGAAGCGACGTCAACTGTTTGCGAGCACGAGAGCGTGAGAGTTGTGTGTCAGTTTGTCTTCATCAAGTCATCCACAAGGTTGGAGGAACCTTTAAAAACCCGTGTGAGCTGACTGACGTTGACAGAGCAGCTTCGGCACCGATTGTGTGTTAACTGTCAAGTACATTGTTCATTCAATTGATTTGTGGAGGACAAAAGAAAACGGTGATGGAGATGCTTAATTGAGCGAAATCCAATTAATTGTGCCGTGAAATACATCTGGACTTGCTCCTGACGTAAACAACTGAATTCAAAACTGTTGGAATTGCTAATAAGATAAAATTAAGTTGAGAAATAAGAAATAAAGATGAAAAGTCAGAAGACTGAAAACTGATTTTCAGGCAGCACTAATGGAGAAAAATAGTAAGAGGGTGTGTATACATCTACTTTGTTGTTAACAAAACCATCTCATACATGAAAATACATACATATGTTTTAGCCTTTTTATAAATGGTTGACAAAACCCATTGTGATTCACAGGGGGATACTTTGTACTTTGGACAAATACTTTCAACAGTAGTTCATCAATTTTTTTATCTACCATCCCACCCCCATCCATAAGTGCAATTAAAAATGTGTTTTAATCCACACCCTGATTGTTCCCTGAGAGAAATAGATCACCCCTGCTGCAAAGCAAATCCTTTCCAGGAAACTTCATCTGAGCTCCAAACACCATATTTCCAAAGTAAATACTGGGACATCATTTGTGAACATCATGCATGTAAACAGCCCCAAGTTCCTTGTATCCATGAAATTTATAGGAAGTTTTCGCTTCATTTCCTCAATCCTTTTTGTGGAAAAACAAGTTCTATTAGGAATCTTGTTATCTGTCAGGTTTATTTTATGAGCCCTTTTAGGGAGAACCCCCCGAAACTATTTTTCTGAGCTCCTAGTGTTTGTAAGAGTGACTAAGCAGCTGACAGAACTGTGGTGAGTGATGTTGTAGCACGGTGAATGTAATCTGGAGCACGCAGCTTGGTTGGAAATTAAGAGCTGCTGCATCTTACGGGGACAAGGAAACGAGCATCACCAGACCTGACAGTAAAACCTCACACCTCAAAGATCCCCAGTCCACAAATGAGTCACGGTGAGTAAGCGTGCATGTATAGTGGAGCGCACACAGAACCAGCACCAAATCTCTGAGTGAGAAATGCTAATGTGGTCTCTTACTGTAGCTCCTGTTCTATTAACAACTGACTGCTCTGTTTCTGTCAGCAGCAGATGGGAGCTTTCTCTCGAGGAAACTCGTCACTTGTGAAAAACCGAAAGTATGACTGCACTCACACTGTGCGTCCACACTCACACTCCCCCCTGATCTTCTTATTCTGCCTCTCGCCGCTACTCCATGTCTGTATTTGCCATGTTAGGCTAAAAGAAGGCTTTCTGACAGAGGATCAGTTGAGGCGACGGAATAAAAAACCTGTAGGCGTGACACCCTTACCTGTGCTCTCTGCCGTCTTCCAACTTGAACTCCAGCTGCTCCATCATTTACCACTTTTTCCTCCAAATGTCTTTTTTGGTTGTCTTCACCTGGTTTTCATCTACCTCTCTCCCCTTCCCAGCACCTGTAGGAGTCCACGTTTCGACCGAGTCTCTCCGACAGCAGGAGTGTGTGAGTTACCAGTGCCCCCGTGTGTGTGTGTATGTGTGTGTCAAGATGCCTGCACACACTCCCCTGGAGGACTTCACAACGTGACAGCGAGTGTATGAGAGCTCCCTGTTATGCTAAAAAAAAAAAAAAAAGGAAAAAAAAACTCTCTCTTTCTGCCGGCCGGCTTTCCCTTCTGCTTATCTCTGTGATTTCTGTGTTTGTCACATTCACAAGTGGTCATGGAGGTGAAGACAGGGCTTCAAAATGGGACGGGGAGGAAAGTGAGGGATAACAAGGGTGACAGAAGACGAGAGGTGTGGGAGCTCCTGGATGAACAGCCAGTGTGTGTGTGTGTGTGTGTGTGTGTGGAGATCCACTTTGTTTAGCTCTCTGTCTGTATCCTTCGGGCTCCCCACTGTTCAGATGAGAGAGGGAGCGAACCAGACGGAGGACGGAGAGTGATGAAATGCCTCCGTGATGAAAGGGGCACAAACCCCAGGAACACCTCAGCAGCAGCGACAGGGACGCTTTTTCCTTATTCCCCTCTCTGCCTCTCCTTTCTCTTTCCCCCTCTCTCTGATCAGGGTTAACAGACACGACAGATCCATGGAAACTTAACAGATCCCCCTCACATACAGAGCAGGGTCCTGTGCACGCCGCTGCATCTTTGGAAAAAAACTTTTCACGCTTTTGTAGTCCAATTATCACCCTGCTAGGTGCTGGTAGTCCTCTGGAAGGAATCCCCTTTGGTGATGTTCTGCCTCTTTAGATCAGAAACGACTGAAGAAGGATAAGTTCACACGCCCCCCCAACCTCTTTACCCTATTTCCAATATGGATGTCAGGTGATCCAGATGTTGATGGATGATGGAAGCCTCTGGAACACTGAGAAAACAGGACAGATGGCAGGTTCTGTGGGGTCGGGCGAGCTGGGCACTAGCAGGTCCTCATCCTGTTGCACAGACTTGTTTTTTTTTTCTCTCTTCCACCAGAGTTTGTCCCTCGCCGTTGCTCTGCCTCTCATCTGTCTGCCCTGTCACACTGGTAATCCGGCTCCTCGTTCCCTCAGTGACTCTCCGTCTTTTTTTGCATGTTTCTTCATCACAGGAGGGTCTGCCTGTGAGTCCTGATGATAATGGTGCGAGGATTTAGCCTGCCTCCCTTCCTCTCCTCCGTCTCCCTCACTTCAGCCCAACCCCTCCTCCACTCCCAGCCCACTTTTGCTCCCGTTTTTCTCTTCATGTGTCTGCTGCCTTCCTTTCCTCACCTCACCTCACTGTATTGCTCAAACACTCCCTCTCAGCATTTTTTTCCCGGCATTTTATCAACAGGTCCAAAATTAATCCCATTAATAGTTTTGTTTTCACAGCCATGACCCCCGGAGGCTGTCAGTTGTTTATCAGTGTGAACACAGTTTCACAAAGTCAATAAGCCAATGAACTATCACAAAGCCTTTAAGCAAACTGAATCAGCTAACATCACAATGAGCTCCATAGGACTGAAATATATTTTCTCAGTTAAAGGGATTACTACTTAATTATCCAAAGCACAGTTCCTGTGCTGAAAACGGCCCTTTAATGATGCCTGCAGCTCTGAAGCAGGTCTGATTGTGTCAGGAAACAATCCACTTATAAGACACCATACCTAACCTTCCACAGATATTAATGCGTAAACTCAATCTAAATACCATTTAAAATCAATTGTAGGGTAAGTTTGCTTTTAAACCTGAGCAAATTTGAGAGAATTCAGGAATTCAGGACATCAGTTTGATAGTAGTGTGTCATCCCTGATCCTAAATACTGACTTTGTCTTTGTATAAATGTGATCGTAGACTCGTTTTTTCAGTGTTGAGCTCAGTTTAATAACGCAGTTTGTTTTATAATTGCAAAACTCCGAGAACAGAAAACCAGTGTTTCACCACAGCTGTTTTTTATTCTTATGTTTAACTCATGATCAGGAAACAATTCTTCTGTCACCTTAAGATAAATAAAACTAACTTTTCTGTAATGAGAAGTTTCGGATCTTGTTGTCTTGAGAAACCAGCCATCGCCTGAACTCTAAGTTCAGTTGTCTGCTCACAAGCATAGACAGTTGGGTCGGGGAAAAGGTAAAAATTCAACCAATGCAGTCATACTTCTGCCATTCAGGAAATGGAAAAACACATTTTTGTTTCCTGTGTTGATGAACTTTTAACCAGATACGCAGAGAAAACAATCCTTGCTATCTCAAAATGATTACACAATTAACCTGGTATCACCTGGAGTAGAGCCTTATTCAGGTTATTATCCAGATATAAAGTAATTATTAAGTTACAATCTCATGATGACGTTTTGTGTTACCTATGACCTCTTCCTTTTACCACAATTCAGAATTATTACTTCTTTTTTTTTCATATAATTTTGACATTTATGTGTCAACGTTTTGATAATCATTTTTGGCATATAGCTATCATTTGGAAATTCATATTTATGAGGATTGCATTTCTTTGAATAACCATTTTTAGGGGGGGAAAAAACATATACTCTAATTTAAAGGAATAAAGTATTTTCTCAACTTTGACAAAGTGACACTGGATGTGAGAGGAATGTAAAACAGGGACAACTTCCAAAAATGTTGGTCTTTGGACCAACAGTCTTATCAAATCAATATTTGATAACTTTGTTATTAACTTTGTTATCAAATATTGATCCTCTCTTTTAGACTCTTAATGAGACATCGATTTTTTTCATGGAATTACTCAGAGCAAGTTATGTAGTTTAACAGAAAGAGGAGAAGTCTGTAACCTTTTGGAAATCAGTTCATCAGTCAGGAGAGAGGGAGCATAAAAACATTTGTGACTTTTTATAGTTACTGAGAGCGCATGGAGAAGATTCAGAACATTTTATATGTTTATTTGTTCATGTGTTTGTTTAGTTCACACAAGATCTGTTTCATGAAATTACATTTAGCCTAGCCTGAATGACCTCATTATAGCCCGGGTGGTAAAGCTCCAGGCTGGAGATTGAAAAACAGATGGTGTGTTGATGTTGTCATTCAGACAGTTAAGAAAGAATCGATAAATATGGGGAATTTGATTAGAAGAGAAAGTCTTACAATTATTAAAAGCCTGAAAAATGGACAGCAAATACAGGACTCTAGGAAAATCACAGACTAAAGGCTGAAAGCGGATATAACTTCTGTGTTTATTAAATGATTTCTGCTTTGCCCGTTCATGCCGCTGCACCAGTAAGAAAAGGCATCTCAAATATATCCAGAGATTTTCTGTCGACTTGTGAACATGCATGACAGGCCCCAAGCCAATATGTGGAAGCTCATTAATGCTGTTTAGAATAGGACGGCGAATGACCAGCAGCGTGGAAAATAAGTCATTTTACATGCAGATCTTCACAGAGATATTGTATGCCATGTCTTTTTTCCTCCACTGTGTTGGTGTGGGACTATCCATCTGAGCCTCGACACATGATAAATCAGATTGATAATCGACACATTGATTGAGCATGATCATAACCTTTGGCTGCAGCTGTGAGAATAAGAATCACATTCTCCTTTGTGTATCGATAGGCTGGGCACACAAGTCAAAGTGATACAACAAATGTGACAATGAACCTTGAGGCCCGTCACACACTGAAATATCTCGGTATTGTACATATGTTGCTGTCTCATCCGCAGATCAAAGCACTTATGTAGAAGGTAATCACCTGCCTACAAGTGAAATGAAAGGTATGCGCAACAAGAAAAAATCAATCTCTCGAAATTCTTTAATCTTTTATTCCGCGGGTTGAAAAACACAAAGTTGTTCAGCGGTGTTTACTGAAATCATGTTGACATGCAGCAGCTTGTGCCGACTCTGAGAGGAGATACAGTGAGTAATACCAAGTGCCTGCTACTTTATCTTCTCCTCGTGTGGATTCCTTTGGACATTTATTTGGCAGGAGAGGGACAAACAATTTCCTTTGCTCTCCTCCTTTCACTCACTCTGTCGAACAGGCATTTCATAGTTTTAAAGAGTGCTGTCTTTTGCGGGTTGCTATCACTCCTAATAAAAGCCTTCTTCCTCACTAGGCAGCTTGGGCAGGAGACAAGCCTTTTAACACAGCTCTATAAATACAGACGAGTGTTAAAATAGTGTTTCAGATGTGAGGCGCGTGACTTAGGTGTTTGTATCTGTATAGGACGCGTGGAGCAGACAGAGTGATCCCTCTGATAAATTGAATGAGACGGTGGTGAACAGATGTGCCAGAGGATAGTCTCGCTGTCAGCAGCTGGACTGTGTGTGAACCAGGACGCTGAGAACATATGTTCTCTGGCTAACTACATGATCAGATCCACAGATTAACTCAGACTGATTCGGGAAGTTACTAAATTATGTTTGCAGGGGGAAGAACCTGCTTGCCGACGACGAGGCAATAATTAATTGTGGGACTGCAGGCCTCTGTGAGGATTTGTTTTATATACATGATAAGATGCATGAATTTATTGAGAACCTCTCTGAAATTGTCATGAAATCAGCTAAACGAGTAGCACCTCTGAGAGATACGTGTACTTTTACACAACGCGCACACGTTATTGTGTCTGGGTAAATCAATATAAATCAACATACCAGATTGTTTTGATAAGAAAGAAAAAATTCTGAAAACATGCTGCTTTTTTAAATCCGTACAATTGATAGAAGTCGAGGCTGCATAGAACAATTGACAGGAATAAAGATGCTGTTGAGAGGCATCTTTGAATTTTTAAAACCACTTTTTTCACTAATGAATTCAAGTGAATGCTGCAAAGCAAAAAAGAGCAGCTGTGATCTACTTTTTTGCCGCCAAAAAGGGGAGCAAAACTAATAGTCACCAGGACTGTAGACTAAAAGGAAATTTCATTTTCAAAATTGTTACCTAGAAAGTAAAATTATGTGCAGTTGTGTTGATTTTATTTGCTAGGAAAAAATATACATAAAAATTGAATTTTTCCGAAATAAGCAGAATATGGAGCCTTTTATGTTTCTAGGTCTGTGCTGACTCACTCACCAAGTAGCCGGGTGTTCAACAGAGGACTCAATAGGGGATACGGGCATACAGCTGCTGCCACGTTTCACCAGTTATCCATATTTATGTGACAAATAGTGCATAAAGTTGTACTAACTAGATGAACACGCACCAATACATAAGTAAAGGATGGAACCAAGTTTTAGGTGTTTTAGTTGAGAACAAGAGAAATTGATTTCATTACAAATCTGGAAGC